CTCTTGCTCACATAGATGCACACTTCCTGTCCTGGGCGGCCTCAACCTGCTTTGTGGCATCAACAGCCTCACAGGATCACATACCTGTAGCTGGTGAGAAATGCCTGCAGCCTGACACCCACCTTTTGGCCCCAGAAGCACACCCCATGCTCCCCAGGAGCACCTTCCCAGGAGCCCAGGACCCCCTCACAGAGGGTCCTCATGCTCAGGCCTTGCCTGTGCTTGCGACCGCTCCCTCCCTGTACCTCTGCCCATCCCACCCTGGCCTCCTTGCCGCCCCCATGCTGTTCCCTGGCTCTTGCCTGCCCACACACCTGCTGGCCACCTGCTCAGCGCAGGCTACGGAAGAGTGGGCCAGTTTTTCTGTTTGCCAAGGCTGCTGGGCTGCGGCCACTAGCGCACATAGGACAAGAATACAGAAATGTGCTTTTTAAAAGCAGAGGATGAAAACAGAAGAGGGGAGGGCTGTAACCCTCTGCCTTTGTTCTCAGTTTTACCGCTTGACTGTCCTCTACACTTGTCTCCCCAGTCCCTGCTGCAAGTGGGGAGCCTCTCTAGAGGCCTGAGACTGCATGGGCAGAAACAGGGCTCCCTAGGCCAGCCTTTCCTCACCTCGTACCCTTGCTGTGTCCCGTACTCTATGTGTAGGGTCCTGAGCAGTTATTTTGTCTTCCAATAAACCCTAAAGGTGGATGCTGTTGTGCTCTAATGTGCACAGAGGTAAAATGCCAAGTTTAACTTCATGAAATCAGCTTGGGGCACGCCGGAAGGGGACCACAGATCTTTGTGACCACAGAGCCACTTGCTCTTGACCACTGTGCATCCAGGCTTCCGTGGAGTCAGGAGAAAAAGTTTGACTGACAAGAATTCTCTTGTCTGGGCTCACTAGGAATGTGCCCATTTGCTTGAGGCCTTGGTCTCGCTGAGAAATAGCTCAGAATTCAGTATTCACAGGACTTCTTCGTGAGCAGCTCAAGGAGCGCAGGGAGGTGCAGAGCTCTGAGGTGGCTTTGAGAAGGGCTTCCTTCTCAGCACCTGATGAGAATGGGATGTGACGGCTCCAGCACAAAATTCTCGCATCTGAACTTACGCACATCGATGTCCTTGAAGGGGCTCGGCAGCACCTGTGAAGCCACCCTGCCCTGGTTCCCTGGTTAGGGCCCTCTGATGCACCTGAACATTCAAAGGCTTACAGGAGCAGTAGAAGAAGCGCAGCTTCTCTTGTTCCAAAGTCACGAATCTTGGCCCCAGCTCCTTGGGACAAAGCCCAGGTCCACAGGACCTGTCAGAGTTCCCAGCACAGGGCCTGGGTGATGGCTTCCACCAGTGCCAACCCTGAGGGAAGCGAGATAAGTAGCAGGACTTCCCCAAAAGGCAGACAGGGCAGGGCTGAGCTGGCTGGGAGTCAGCTGGAGAAGGGATTAAATTAAGAACAGAATTCCGGGGTCCACACCCAGGGGTTTTGATTAGTAGGCCTGGGTGGGGTTTTGGAATCTCTGTTTAAAAAATATCCCCCAGGTAATTCTTTAGCTCCAGTTTGATCATTATTAAATAAAAGTCTTTACTAGAACAGTTTTTCTTCTTTCTCATGGAGACATTGTACCCATTGTGTCCTCCGTCCCTCTGCCTCTGTGCTCCTCTCTCTAACACTGAACCCCAGCTCTGGACCTGCCAGGGGCTGGATGCTGGTGAGTGAGGTGAGGCTCAGCCCTGCCCTTAGCAACTCACAGCCTTCTCTTTCCCTACCTCTTCTCAGTGGAGACTCAGACCCCTTCTAGACATGGCTAAGACAGGCCAGTTAAATGTTTTCTCTCCCCTCAGGGCTCTGGAGAGTCATGGCCTCCAGATGAGCAGGGCCCATTCTCCTTCCTGTGCAAAACAGGCACCCTTTTGAGACCAGTTGTGCCCACCACCCTGTCCCTGATACCCCTGACCAAAAACCCACTTTCCTGTCTGATTTCAGCTCTTCTCTCCTCGCTTAAATACTCCTCCCGTAAGTAACATGACAGAGGCCCTATTGGTAGCAGACACTGGGTCCCTGGGACCACAGGCACAGAGCAAAAGTAAAATCCTGGCCCCCGCACTCCTGAAACCTCTCGCCAGGGAGGGGGAATGCAAGATGTTTACGGTAGCCACCTCTTTGGGCTTATGGAAGTGGTGATATTTGGTCTTGTGCCTGGTTCTTGACACAGAGCTCTTATAACCATTGTAATTTCCTAAGTGGTTAGGGCTGCCGGGAGCAGCCTTTTCCCCAATATTTGGTTGTTGCCTCTAGTCCCTGACACAGAGCTCCTAATTTCTTTGGAGTTTCCCAGGTAATAAGATGTCTTTATCCCAATGAGATGACAGGTGGTGGGCTTTTAGGCTCTGGTGACCAAAAAGCGCAAGTCATGATTAAGAGTTTGGAGCGTTCAGCCCCACAGCCCATTCATTCTAAGGTAGATAGGAGTACTGGGAACTGAGTTCATAGCCGACTGTCTATATGATGAAATTTCCACAAAGATCTCAAAAGTATGAAGTCTGGAGAAGTTCCGGGCTGGTGAACACATTCATCCAGGTGGCAGGAGGTGCCACATCCCAGTGTTAGAGGGACAAAGGCTTCTGTTCTCAGGAGCTTCCAGGCCTTGACCTAGGTACCTCTTTATCAGCTGTGCATCTAAATCTTTAATCATGTCCTTTATTGCTGGTAATAAACCAGCAAATGTAAATGGATGTTTTCTTGAGTTCCGTGAGCCACTGTAGAACATTCTCGGACCTGAGGAGGGAGTCATGGAAACTCCCAATTGCTAGCCATGTTGGACAGAAATGTGAGCAACTTGAGAATCCGTGGCGTCTGACATAAGGGGACATAAATGGAGCCCTCAACCTGTGGGTCTGCACTCAGAGTAGGCAACATTGTGATTGAGTGGTAGGATTCGAAACTGGTGTCCAGAGAGTGGAATTAATTGGTATGAAGGAAGCCACTTAGATTTGGTGGCCAGGTATATTACGGGTTGATTAAAGGAACATGAGTTGTCTTACGCAGAGGTCTCTGAGACCATAAAGAAAGTGCCACATTGGGGCAGGTAAGTGGGATCTCGTTGCTTTCCTGCTGGCTGTGGACAGGTGGAACTCATACCCCTGGGAGCACCCATTGCTGTGCCCCTTCAGTTTATGCATGAATTTTGGGCACCAGCCTTCCTGCAAGGTCATAGTTTGTGGTCACTGGTCCTCACCCCAGGACTTTCTTCCCCGATTCTTGTACAGTTTTCCTGCTCACTTCCTGCCCCCTGGCCGTGGAGTCAATGACAGCATGCCCGAGGGCATATGTAGCACAGCCATCTATGCCAATCTGCAGCTTTCTTGGTGCCTGCTAATGAGGTCAGAGCTCAGAGGCTATGTTGGGTATAGTAAGGTTGGAGCCTGAGCAGAGCTTGGCACACAGGAATTGCATTCAAAGCTCATTAGTGTGAAAGTCAAGAACCCAAGCATAAACCTTTGAGTCCTAGATACAGTGGTGCCTGTAACTTGCTGTTTGAGTCTTGGTCCCATTCCAGATATAAGCAATCGGACTTGCTCTTTAGCCAAGAGTCCAGATGATTCCCATGAACGTTACTATTTGGGAAACCTGTCCAGGAGCCTTTCTTCTCACTCTAAGCACTATGGTTAGGGCGGTAATTTTGATGAGTACGACGCTGGTTCTCTTAGGAGCCTCCTCTGTCATACAAGGAGTCAGACAACACGGCCTTTGTGGAAAAGAGTGCAAGATGACAACTCAACTCCAGGTCAAAGTCTCAGACTGGCTTTGTTTGGCTTCGTGCATATTCTTTTGGAATAGGGCTCCACTGTTTAAAAGTTGGGAAGTGTCTTAGACTTCTAGCTTTGAAAAATTGAATGAGGTGCGAATAAGCCCTGTTTTATGTGACAACTATCAGTTTCCTCCTCTGATCTCTAAAACTCATATCCTTACCCCAAGTTCTTCTCTGGTCACTAGTACTTTGAGGATAAAAATCACAGGAGGCTCTTAAAACACCTGAATAGATGCTCAGCCGTCTAATATTACAATTAAAAATGAAATATACACCGAGTTATCATTTCGTGCCTGTCTAACTAGCAAATATAAAAGTTTGATCCTGCACTGTGTTGACAAGGGCAGAGGAAACGGGTTCTTCCTCACACCTGTAGGAAAGCAAGGTGGTACAGTCTCTAAGATGCTCAGTCTCATTGTCTATCAAAATTGCCAAGTACCACCTACTCCTTGACCAAAACATACCAGTGCTGGGAATTCATCCCACAGACGTGTGCACTCACGTGAAATGTAATTCCAGTGCACACATGCAAGTTTAGGCACTGAAGCACTGTTTGTGACAGCGACAGACTGGAACTAACCCAATTGCCCTTCAATAGGGGACAGGCTAGATAAAGCACGGGCCAGCTGTACAGTTACACATTATGCAATAAAGCACTTCATGTTATGATATGACAAAGGGTTTCCAAAATATATCACTAACTGAACAAAGAAGGAAGTGAACAGCGTGCCAAGCCCAGTGCCATTTGCATGGTGGAGAGTACAGTGTCTGTGGAGAGATATACAAGGAACGGACAGCAGTGACCTTCTCTGAAGAGGAGACCTAGGAGGCCAGGGGACATGGGTGGAGGAAGTCTTTCACACTTTCAAATCCTTTGAACTTTGAGCCTTGTTGACGTTTTACCTAATCAGAGTTAAAAAACCAAAGGTTTTTGGAGAGCTAGAGTCTGTGGTTATACATTTCAGAGCTCCATTGCCTTTGCAGTTTAGTAAGCCTAACACTGATGAGTCCAGAGGTTCATCTTGCCGTAGGCCAAGTCTCTAGGTCTGTCTCTGAGTCTCTCCAGCACCACTGTCCTGAGTTGTGACACAACAGCCTCCTTAAACCTGAGCAGCTCCAGGCTCCTGCCTTAGCCTGGCACAGCTGCACCTCTGGCACCTCCCAGGATGCAGCCCTGGGTTCTCACTCACCTCACCTTCTCTGCCCTCCCAGGGGAGCCTTCTCAGTCGTGCGCAGGTGTGTGAAGGTGCTGGCTGGACAGGAGTATGCTGCCAAGATCATCAACACCAAGAAGCTCTCAGCCAGAGGTAGGTGCCACCCTGCCCAGCTGGCCCACAGCCAGGATTGCCTTCTCTTCCTCCCTCTGACTGTGGGCTCAGGACCTGGGCTGAGTCTGTGCCCCTGGGGGATGCTAATATGGTTAGTGACCTTTTTCCTGAGGGTGTCATGAGAATTGACCTCCCTCATCCCCTCAGAGAAACCTCGGCTGGAGCCCACAGCCTCAAAAAGACTGGCCAAGGTCTCTGTTTGTGCAGCCAAGGCGTCAGATGGAACCTCTTCCCCCCACCTTTCTGTTGTGACCCTTCCCTTCTCAGTGGCAGACTTTGCACTTGCCACACCCTGGCAGCCGCTCTGGTCTGCTGCTCAGATGACCTGGTCTGAGGAGGTCTTCCCTCTTCTCTGTCTCCTTCCTGGCTTTCCCTTACCCTTGCATTATGTAATTTGCTGGTTGGCTCCTTGTTTAACCTCTGTGTCCCTTCTTCACTGACCTGCAAGTAAGAGGGCAGGTTTCACCTGCAGCCCTGTCCTCAGCCTGTGGGACAGAGCCCTTACCATGTGCTCAGATGGCGTCGTGTGAACTGCTGGTGTGTTCCTCTTTGACTGCAGCAGCCGTCTCCAGTCCCTGAACAGGTGGTCTGGGGTGTGCCCTGGGTTTTGGAAATGACACTTAGCAAATTCTAATTTGCAGAGATGTTTGGAGGCCTTGCATGGCATGGTGGTCCTAGGACCATGAGTGGTTCTGGACCCACAATATCAGAATCTGGAGAATGTTAGAAGTACAGTGTATAGGGTCCTTTTCAAAGCCTAAAAAACCCAAGTCTGCGTTTTGTCAAGATGCCCAGATGAGCCAAATGGGCACCTGGACTCCTTGCCACCAGTGTGTGCGGGCCGTAATGGTGCTGACCACAGTCAGTGTGTTGGAGAGAAGTATCTGTGAAGACGCCCGGTGAGACAGTGTGTTGGCTGCCTTTGGGATGGTGAGGTGAGGGAAATTCTGCTGGGTGAAATGACAGACTCAGTGTGTGCGCAAGCATGGTGTCCAGGTGTTGGGCAGCTATGACTACACCTGGGCCAGGCCCGCAGGTAGGGGCCCAGGGAGCCCCACGGCTACTGGAACAGGACGTGCCCACTGCTCCCCAAGCCTCTCAGCAAGTGCGTTGCTCCTGTTTCGTCTCTCTGGCTTAGTGTGGCTGGGAGCACAGCATGCTCTCCTGGTGTCCTGTAGGGATAACAGGCTCTGCATGGGGGAGGCTGGGACAGGGGGTCTCTGAAGGCCCAGGGCCCTCACATGGCACAGTCAGAATAAAAAGGCCAGGCCTGTGGAAGGTGCAGAGCCTCAGTCAGCAGCATGAGCTACGTGGGCAGGAAGGCCTGCAGGAGTACTGTCTCATGTCCACAGGCTGGGGTTAGTTTGCCTCCGCTGTATGACTAGCGGCAATCTTGTGCCTGTCTGCGCTTGGGGTCTCTAATGATTATGAGAGGTGTCCCAGGTCTGGGATACAGTGGAGGGGGGCAGCAGGACCAGTCATGACTTGGTGGTGTCATTGAGGGTGCCCGGTAGAGGTCTCCCTGGATGTGCAGGGTTTTGGGCCAGTTTATCACACTCTCGGGGCACCTCTACAAACACAGCCCTGCACATTCACACACATGTACATGCAAAGACACGTGCATGCATGCGCACATGCACACGCCCGCACACTGACTGGCCAGGAGTCAGAGAGCATAGGGAGTGGAGTTTGCTTCCGTTTGGGAAGTTGACCAAGCACCCAGGACCGTGTGGTCCTGACTACGGCAGGCAGTATTCACCCAAGCCCCTCTCTGCCATGTGTTGAGTCTGGGAGGACGATGCCAGGCCTATGTGAGTGTGTGGGGTGGGGGTGGGGCCGCTATCAGGGAATGTTCTAGAAGAAGTCTGCCAACTGCTCGCCGTACTTTTCCCCATCGGGGAGGAGGAGCAGAGCTTCTTTTAGCAGATTTCTTTGTTTGCCATTCATGGAGCCTCCAGGGGGGCTTAATGCAGAATATTTGGCAACACACTTTAAGCGTCTCCTGCTGCCACTCTTGGGGACTTGTGCCCTCCCAGGTCTCCTGTACACCCCGTCCAGGGAACCGTGGCTTCCCTGTCCAGCCTCTTTCAGCAAGTGGTTCCCAAAATCCAGGAAATACTTCTGTGTGTATTTTTTAAATTAGTTTTTTTTTTTTTCAGTTTCAAAGAATCCATCAAGAAATGGAATGAAAAGTGAAAATTTTGCTTGTCCCAATCTTTGCCAAATCCTCACCAGGGGTCTTTTTAAAAATGCAGCTGCCTGTGTCACAGCCCTGAGGGTTGGCTCGAGCTCCTGCATTGTCACAACCCCATGGTGTAGACAGCAAGTGCGGGCTCCGTCTCAGGGCCATCCGTGCCAGGTCCCCTCCACGCCCCAGCCCTCTCCTTCCTAACGCCTGGGGACCACGACCTCCTCAGGCTCTGGGCTTCACCCAAATGCCGAGGGACCACTTCCTAGGCTCCCTGGCTGCCGGTCTTGGGGTGCCGGTTGGGAGCATGCCAGGGGTGCATCCAGGCTGTGCCTGAGCCCCATTCGGGTCCTGCAAGGGAGCCCTCTGCCCACCCACCTCCACACCCTTGCCTGGCATCTCGGTCTTTGGGATTATTTCTCCAACCGCCCAGGACTGAGCCCTATCGATCCTGTGGACGAAGGGGACATTTCTTGTTCTTAGACTTGAGGTCTCTTCTCTGCCCTGGCTCCTGGGCCTTTTGCCTGCCGGAGCTCATCCTCTGTCTATGTGACTGCACTTCCTCCTGGGATCTGGCCTGCTCTGCCCTTCTGGGACCTCACTCCAGAATACCCACTAACATCAGCATGCTGCAGGTGACACAACCATGGAGAGGGTAAAAGCTCCCCAAGATATCATCATGGGCCTTGGAGACAACACCCCCAGGTACCCAGCAGGAAGCTGGAGATGTGAACTTCCCAAGGCCTGTCCATTGTGGGACTTGTTAAGCTGGATGGATTGAGTTACGCACTAATTAATTATTAGGATGGGAAGCACATAGTGTAGTAATCTTGGACATGGGTTGAAATCCTGTGCTGCCATCTGTTTGCACTGGGGCTTAAGACAAGATGCTTATGCCATGGCAGTGACCCTTGTTCTCAACGTGCCAGTTTTTTAGGATATGAGATCACAGAGCATTAGACACATAAGTAAGCTGAGTTGTTTCAAGTAGTGGTGAGTACGGTAAGAAAATCAAACAAGGTAATGGGAAAGTGATGGAACAGGAGGGATGCTCTTGGAACAGCATCCAGGGAAGCTCTCCGAGAGGGGATATTGTGCTGAGTCTGCCTGATGAAGAGCCAGCAATCAGGAGAACACTCAGGGGCAGAGCATTCTGGGCAAAGGGCATGGTATGTGCTAAGGTCCTGAGGCAGACAGGAGGCTGCAGTTACTAGACCTTCCTGGCAGAGATGAGGGAGGATGCTGCAAGGTCTTAGATATGAGATTGGATTTATAATAAGTACACCAGTGGGCAGTTCAATACCAGAAGAAACAAGATCTGATTTGTATTTTAACAAGAGCTTTTTGGCTGCTGAGGACAATTGGCTGGAGTGGGGGTGGGAGTTCTCATAGTTAAGGGTTTGATTTTGATAAAGGAACTACCCTTTTAATCCCAGGCCTCAGTTTACCTATCTACATTAAACAGCAAGACCTCTAGGTCAAGGAAAACATGGTCCCTATGTGTTTTGATACGCTCTGTGCATTAGAAAATGAAAACCTTGACACAGAGTTATAAAAGTATCCCACAGTATACGTGTTTACATTTAACAAATCAATACTTTTAACAACAAAAAGTTACAACGCATGGGAACTGTACGCTGCACAAGACCATTACAGGATTCACATTTCCTAGCATTTCAGGCAGGGAAGTCTGGTCATCTGACATCAGTTGGAAGTCGTGTGGCCAACATTTTCTTTTGTCCTCGTAGTGGAACTTTGCTTCTGAGTAACGTCACAAGGAGAAAACATCAAAATTCCAGATTTGAAGTCCCACTCTCTGAACATGTAGCCCGGGCCTAAGGCCTCCTGTCCCTCAGATGGGCCTGGCCTTGAGCTCCTTGGTTTCTGGTTTTTCTGGGGGAGGAATGGGGCAGGGCAAAGGGTGCACAGCAAGGAGGGGTCCAGACTTCCTCAGCCCACTGAGGGCCTCCAAGCACCTCAAGGTGAGGATCCCCTTTTTGGCCGAGGACCTAGTATCCCCTGCCCTGCGGACATGGATTGAGTCTCGGAGGATGGGGAGCCAGGAGGACACCCTACTATTTGGCCCTCCTCTCCTTCCTTGCCTGCAGCTGGCCTACCCCTGGGGGAGCTGAGTCTGCAGAAGCAGCACTGGGTTTAATTGCTTTGCTTGTGGTAAAACCCTGTTTCAGCCTTGGTTTTGGCTTCTGCCGCCTGCCAGGGACAGCCAGTGATGGCTCTAGTGGACAGGGCAGAGGAAAGGGGAGCTGAGTACCCAGGGAGGAGGCTTGGGACTATCTCCATCCTTAGTGTCTTGTGGTGCCTGTAGTCATTCAGTGACTGACGCATGGCACCTGAGTGTTTGAGTGAGTCCCCATCTGTGGGCCCCAGTTTTCACACAGTAGGTTGAGGCAGCTGGAAGAGATTAGAAGTCGGAGCCTGAGAACAGGTAGTGCAGGCTTTAATGGCTCGGGGGTCTGAACGCTGGAGGAGAGGGTGGCTCCACAATCACCATGGGTGTGACTCTAGGCTGCGTGCCACTGCTCTGAATGTCTGTCGTGGCTCTCTCGGAGGGCTGTCATGAAGGCTGGAAGGCCTAAGGAGCACTCTGCACAATTTGTGGCACACAGTCCACACAGGTCAACATCCCTAGTCTGAAATCCAAAATACTCCCAACCGCCTAAGTTTGAGAGTGGTGCAGGAAACTTTCTTTCATGTACAAAACTACTAATAAATATTGTAAAAAAATTACCTTCAGGCTATGTGTATGATCGTTGATAAAATGTAAGTGAATTTTGAGGTTAAACTTGAGTCCCATCACTGAGATATCTCATTATATGTGTGCAAATATTCCCAGTTCCAAAAAAATCTGAAACACACTTGTGGTCCCAAGCACTTCACATAAAGGATACGCAGAGGATGCTGCCTCCTACATGTGCTAGTACTCTCTCTTTAACTGTTTTGTTTTTTAAATTAAGGCATCAGCTACTAAACTGTGAGAAAAGCATCATACAGGGAGTTGGGAAATGCATTTTCAATTCCAAGTCTGCCACCAAGGAGGCCTTGAGTTGCTCAGCTTGTGAAAGGAGACAGTGGTGCTCACGGCCCAGAGTGGCGGGAGGCACTGAGCCGTGTGAGTCGACTGTTCCCAGAACTCAGGAAGCAGAGACCACAGGACTGATCCTGAATAGGTGTAGGGGGAGACTGAGGGTCTTGTCAGAGGTCCTGGAAGGCAAGTGATAGTGCTGGGCCACCCCTGAGGCTGCCTCAAATGCAGCCTGCCGGGCAGGTTCACTGCTGGCTGGTCCTTGGTCCCAGTGCAGTGAAAGGGAGGTGGCTTCTGGGGATAGTATAGCTCTCCTGGAGAGATCCGTCACTCCCTCATGAAGTCCACCTGTTCAATCACTTCTTTTTTCATTCCGCTGTTTCTTGAATTCCTACTTCTGCCAGGCAGTCAGGAAGATGGGAGACCCTTAAGGGAGTGGATGTCTGCAAGACAGAGGAGCCTGAGAGTGCAGAGCAGGGCCCACCAGGCTGCCGAGGGGTAGGAATGAGTGATGGCTGGCGACTGACAGTGAAAGACTGAGCTGTGTGCCACACGGAGACTGAGGGGGCTGAGCGTGCAGAGCAGTGAGAGCTGCAGTGCTGGCTGGCTGGAGCCCTGGCCCGGGAGATGGGCCTGGAGGAGGCACAGCAGGGTCCAGGCTGGACTGGGGCCTTATCACATGGCAAGGGGCCCTGGAAACTGAGGCCAAAGGCGGTGGGGGGACTTGCCTCGCAGCTTCGGCCTCCCTGGGAGGTGGAGGCCATGGGCAGGTCCAGGGGAGGCTGCAGGTGGCTTCTCCCTGGGACTCCCTTGAGCATTTGTGTTTCAGACCATCAGAAGCTGGAGCGTGAGGCCCGAATCTGCCGCCTACTGAAGCACCCCAACATCGGTGAGGCCTGGGGGTAGGGAGAGTGTGTCAGGCAGGGGTCCTGGTGCTGGTTGGGGGTGTGGAGAGCAGCTGCTCTCTTCTGTGGGGTGGGAGGCAGTCGAGGTGGAAAGTGGGGCATCCCTGATGTTTTCCACATTCTCAGAGACCAGCTTGCTTCAGGGAAAGGCGAATAAGGGGCCCTTCTTCCCATCCCACACTGCTGCAGCCTCCTTCAGAACAGCTGCTTCAGGGAAACTCCTGGAGCTCAGAGACAGATGAAAATAGGCCAGGAGGGAAGCTTGGCCTTGACCTGTGTGGCCCACACTAGACCTACTCTCTGTTGAGCCAGCCAGAATCAAGATACAACTCAGCCCCTGCCCCAAGCTCAGACCTATTGCAGGCTGCCCGGAGAGGTGGAGCCCAGGGTGGGAGGAGGCAGGACCAGGACAGCACATGCATGGACCTAGGCTCAGGAAACATATGTCACTGATGGACCCAGCTCCCCAACTGCTGTGCAACGAGGGGGCAGATTCTTGGCAATCAGGGTTCCGAGTCATGGAGGGAGGAGCTTAGCTTTTAGATCTAGGTCTGCAGGAATGGTTGTGTGACCTTGTGTAGGAACACTCCCTTCTCTGAGCCACTTTCCCCCACTTTCATTTGGAGACGGCTGTCCGGATCAGTGCTTATCTTTTTCCAACCAACTGGGTATTTCACGATGAGGCAGCTTCTGATGGAACGAGTCTGGGATGGAGCCTGAGGCTTTGCAGTTGTCATGGCTTCAAGGAGAGGCCAAGGCTTCTGACTTGGAGAGCGAGGTCGATTCACTATCTTGAAGATGGTGCCAACTCTGACAGCTGCCATACCTTCTCTTCAGGGCGAAGAGCATCTCTCCATGCCCAGGGCCCCAAGAGTTAACTCTCCTGCAGGGAGAAGCAGCACCATCTGCTATTTATACCCAGAAAAAGCCCCTGCCTCCCTGCTTAGCAGCAGCAGGAGGAAGTGGGAGCCAGGAGAAAAGGCGGGCCAGCCAGGGCAGAGAGGGGGCAGCAAGGCAGAGCTGCGGGAGGAGCTGGCTGGACCCTGTCCTGACTTGCTATGTCCCTTCCTGACCATCAGTCCCACCCCAGCTGGGTGAGGGAGGGGCTGGAGCCATCTCTGTCAGCCTCTTGGTTCTCTTGGAGGCTATCAGCCTGGGAGGACGGAGGTGGGTCATGTGCACAGGTTCCTGCATGCGTGTGTGCGTGCGTGCGTGTGTGCGTGCGTGCATGTATGTATGTGTTGCTACTCAATAGCAGCTGGCTCAGGTCAATTCCACCTCTTCTCTTTGTGTCTCCTCCTTCCTCTCATTCTCAGTTGTAATGAGAGAATAATTTATGGGCTCTGGGGCTGACAGAATACAGCTCAAATCTTGAATTTGTTGCTTCATTGCTGTGTGACCCCAAACACACTGCTTAGCCACACAATTTTCTCTGGAGAATGTGAACCATATCTACCTTGCAGGACACGATGATTAAGTAGAGCACAGCATGAAGATAGGCATCAGACCAGTGTTTATCTGTCACTAAACTGTCCCCTTGGCCCTGTCCTGCACCTTCCCAAATAAGGCATCCTCTTGCCTGGAGCCCTGTAAGACTATCCCTGTCCTGAGCCAATAAGACCGTTGGTCTTTGGTGGCAAGCATGACACCATGGCGGCTAAGAGCATGGCTTTTGAAGTCAGACACACCAGGCAGTGCTGAGGCGCTGAGCGCCAGTGTTGAGGAGGTGTGTGAATAGGGACAGACTGTACCTCTCTGAACCTCAGTATTCTTCTCCATGACATGGGGATAATCAGTCCCACCTTGTAGGACTGTTGGGAAGGTTGAGGGAGAGTGTAAATATCTTCCTGAAGAAGTGCAGAGGCTTGCATGCAGGTGCAAAGCTGAAGGTGAGTCAGTGCCTTAAGAGATTGACTGGCTCTTATGCTGCTTCCTGGTCAAATCTAGATATGCCTGTGTGTGTCCTGGCTCAGCCCACGGTCCTGGCTCAGCAGATGGGTCCAGCTGTACCTTGCACAAAGCATTTGCCTCCCAACTCCTGCCTGGGGAGGATGGTACTTGCTCTCTGTGTCACCAAACCTGCAATAAGGCACAGCCCCAAAAACCATCCCGAGGGTGCAGCGAACTGTGTTAGGGATGACCTAAGAGCTGAGTCTGTGATGTAGCCTGGGAAAGGAAGTGCAGCTGGTCAAAGGTGCAGGATGGCAATGTTTTCATTTGATGATTCTGAGCACCAGGCACTGAGCTGAATGCTTCACAAGCATCATCTCTTTAGTTTCCCATATAGTCCCAATTCCATTAGCTTGACTCTAAGGTTAAGACATTGGCCAAAGTTGCACAGCTTGTAAGAGGTGGATCTGGGAGGTGAACCCAGTAATTCTGATTCCGGAACCCATGTGGATTCCATTTAGCTTCCCAAGCAGACATCAAGATGTGGTGGTCTGAGGCACACAGGAAGAACAAGTACTATCTTTCAACTCTTGTGGCGGAAATTGTAACCCCTGGAAATATCACAGGAATGTCAGATATCAGTGACTCAAACTAAGTTACAGATTTATCTGTTCTATGACAGTATTTTAAAGTGACGTGGTCATGCAATACTGTGGACACGAGCAGGCCAGTCACTCCCCTGGGAGACAGGACTGTTGCTGTAGCTGGTGGTCTTGGTTTCTGCGCTTACTCGTGGGTTCTGGCAGCTGTGTTCTGCAGATAGCCCTGTGAGGGGAGGGGGCTGTGTGTGAGTCCTGCACTGCAGGAAGTCCTGTGTCCTGTACCACAAGATGCAAGTCCACTACTCTAAGCAACTGAGGCCAGCTCCAGTACGACTGTGCAGGTGGTTCGCTGCTTAAGTGGCGGCTAAAACCCAGCCACGTGTCCCTTGCCCAGTGGTTCAGAGAGGCAGCCTTTTATAGCAATGCAGAGAAAACTTGCCCGAGCTCTGTCCACTTTCCTAAGCCCTGAGGCCTTCTCTACAGGGGCTGAATCTGACCCCTCATCCTCTTGGGGCTCCTATAAAAGGGCCATTGACCCAGTCCTGAAGCTCCTTTTGGAGTTGATTTTGACTACAGTGTGGCTTCTCACACACAGGGCAGGGAAGTCAGGACCACCTCCAGCCAGTGTAGACAGGAAGAGTCTGCTCCCCATGAGTCCACAGGGAGGAAAACAGTCTTTAAGAATATTTAAAAATTTTTTTTTGCCTTTTTGAGACAGGATCTTGCTATGCGTTCAGGCTGGCCTTGAACTCACTTTGTAGGAAGGCTGACCTTGAACTCCCAGCAATCCTCCTGCCTCAGCTTCCTGAGTACTGCAATGACAGGTGTGTGCTACTACGCCTGGCAGGAAAACAGTCTTTTGACAACTCTATTTTGACACAATAACAGCATAAGCTTATTGCAGATCGACGAGGAGACAAAGACTTTATGTCTTGTAAACTCCTCATCTAGAAGTACCATCTAATGAAACCTGTTTGCACATGATCTGCAATCCATGGCCCTCTCAAATAAATACACTTGTGCATTATCTCAGCTCAACTTCCTTCAAGGCAGAGCCTGAGCCAGGCATTCAGGTGCTGTGAGCAGCCAGCTGTCCTGGCAGCCGGGGGTTGGACGCACCAGCTTACCAAAGGGGACCTTGGCAGGGCACTGATGTAAGATTGCTGGGTCCTGTAAACCAAATATAGTTATATAAGCATGTGTGTTTAAGAAACCAAGCCCGCATTCATTTGGAATGCACTGAAAATTATGACAGATTAGTAGCTGGGGGAGTGGGTACAAGTGCATAAGGCCATGACAGGAGGACACGAATGATAGCGTCCGAGCAGCAGTACCTGGCTGTTCACCTCATTTAGGTTTGACCTTTACTAGAAAAAAGTCAATAAAATAAGGTGGGTCTATATACATGTACTCTTAAGGGTTTCTTAAACATCTTCCGATTACTATTCACCAGTTCGGATCATCACTGCAGAGTGTCTTAGGGTTTTCATTTTAACCTGTGTCCTGTCCTCTCTGGTGTCCATCTCCTGTCCCCGAAGGTGCTCACTCAGGGCATTTGACACCTGTCCTTCTGCCCATCCTGCATGTTTTACTTAAAATATGAGAGCCATAAACAACTTGGAGACTCAGTACTGAGGTACAGATACATACACCAAGAAAAAATTCAGTAGTACTAGGGCTTACAGTGAAAAACTGGCTCCCCAAGTCTCCTCCCCAGAGGCGCCCCAATGCCCATTTCTCTGTATTTTTCCAGAGAGATTTATGCCATTTATAAGCTTAAATGCATCCTTTAGAAAAGAACTACGCATACTGGTTTTCGCTTTGCTTTTTCTACTAAACAACATGATTTGGAGATGATTCCGAACCAGCGGATGCCTAACTGCCACATTATTTTAACAGCTGTGTAATTTTCCATTGTGTGGATGGATCACAGCTCTCCGAGTCAGCCTCCCTCTGTGGACATTTTTAGGTCGTGGTGCAGGGAATGATGTGAGCCTTGTCCTGTGACAGTTTGCCCTTGGCTGACAAAGTGAGGGCCCCCAGAGTCAGCCTCAGCCCTCAGGCCTTTCTTTCTGAAAGCTCAGGGAAAATTTTGGGAGCTCTGGATTCTTGGGGGCATGGCCTCTGTGCTTGGTAAATGAGCTGTGAAGAGATGACAGCTTCCTAGCAGTCAGAGCTCCAGGTCGCTGCCACTCCCCACCGCAGGCCTCCATGGCTCCCTTAGCTCCTCAGACTGGAGGCAGAGCAGGGCTCTTGGCTCGCAACCACTGAGGAAGCATGACTGTGTGCCCAGTGGAACATAGGCTGCAAGTCCAACAGTGTTATTCTCATGGCCCAGGCAAGGAAAGAGGCTCAGAAAGGCTTAGTAACCTGCCAGAAGTCACACAGCCAGTTTGCTGCAGGGATTGGAGTTATAGGCTCTTTATGGGCCAGCAACAAAACTGTGGGTTGCTGGGGAGTTAGCTCAGTGGCATAAGTGCCTGCCTGGCAAGCGCGAGGTCGTGAGTTCATCCCTGGTACCGCCAAAAAACAAAACAAAACAAAAAACCTGTGGGTTGTTGAAAGGGTACCAAACTGACCAAACAGAAATTTTTAGTCTTTATGCACAGAGCTCTTTCAATAGTGCCTGGGGTCTGTGAAAGCTTGACATGGTGAGCCCTTCGCACCTGAGTTTGTCAAAACGCCTGGCACCAAGTTTGTGCTCTGAGACTGGGAAATCAGGATGCTGACCACAGGAGTCGGAGGGATGGTGGGGCTGGGGTTCGGTGTGGTCAGGTGTAACCAGCTGCCTCGCCCCTCCCACAGTCCGGCTCCACGACAGCATCTCCGAGGAGGGACACCACTACCTGATCTTCGACTTGTGAGTCTGGCCTCACCCTGGGATATGCCCAGGGTATGGAGGTGTCTGGACAGAATGAGCTCACTGGGCCCCTTGGCCTCTGGGACCGGAAATGCCTCCAAGCTAGGCTAAACTCCCTCATCTGCCCAGAGTGCCCCAACATTTGACAAGCTCAGATCTGCCACCTAAGCCGCACAAGCTACTTTTCCTGCTGAAACACCGCACCCTTTTGACCATCATTAGAGCTGTTCCTCTTTGGTTTGTGGGCAGTGGTGCTGACTGATACGCCGCTCATACAGGGATACTGAGTTTCCCTTTGCAATCTGTTTAATTTGCCTGCAGTGATGGAATGATGGGCACAGGTGGTTCCTGGGCAGGTCGTGAGGAAGCACTGGTCTCATCTATGAAGCCCAGAACAGGGGCATGCTCGCTGAGGGCAGTGGTGTATAGAAAACCTCACACTCGCCACTTGATTTTCCTGTGAACCTAAAAGTACTCTAAAAAAAGAGAAAAAGTTCATCAAACAAACAGCAAACAAAAGCAAAACCAAACAGCTGTTGGGCTCCCAAGAACTGGGTTTAGCATTGTGATCTGAGGCTCCCCACTCCAAGGAGAGCCCAACTGCAGAGAAGGCAAGGATGGGGTACGACGGGGTGTCAGAGAAGGAAGGGTATGCAGGAAGAGGGGTAGGGGTGGCAGCGGGAACATCCCTGGGACCCTGCCTTCCTGTTTGGGGGCTGAGGTTCTATGATCCTTGGGCCCCAACCTCAGCTTTCCGGAGACTCCTTCAAGCAGGCCGGTACCTGGGGCCTCTGTGGGAGAGTGACTCAGTGCCTGTCTCCCCAGAGTCACTGGTGGGGAGCTGTTTGAAGACATCGTGGCCCGGGAGTATTACAGTGAGGCAGATGCCAGGTGAGTGCCAGATGCATGCGGTTGGTGGTGTGCTTGGGGCAGGGCCCAGCTGACTACGGTGGGCTTCCCAAGTAGCCTTACCCCTCAGCCTCGACCCTCCCTCTCTCTCCCCAGTCACTGCATCCAGCAGATCCTGGAGGCCGTGCTGCACTGCCACCAGATGGGGGTGGTGCACCGGGACCTGAAGGTAAGCAAGTCTTGTGGTGCAGCCCTGGGACCTGCCACCTGGAGCCCCTGCCTTCTGCACTTCCTGCCTCCCACAGAGCCGGGTGGCACCAGAATCCCCTTAATTTTCAGAGTTAGGTGGGTGGGAATATTTTCCCCAACTGTCAGGTGAGGAAATTGAGCTCAGGAAGACAGAGTGGCTGGGTTTGGGTCCCAGGTCTTCCAGCCCCAGCTACTTTATCCAGGCCTAGCGAAGTGTGGGCTGTCCTTGAGAGCAGGGAGAGGAGGCAGGATGCCTCTGCATCCCAGCAGGGCAACACCTCGCCAGCTCCTTGGCCTTGACTGCCTTGACCTCCCTGAGCCTTGACTTCCTTACCGCAGTGGTTACCATGGCAACCCCAGCTTCTAGGGCGGCTGTCAAGTGAGATAGCACAGTGCCTGGGGTACGGAAACCTGTTCCTCTTGTTCCGGGTCTCTGGCATGCAGCAGAAAAGAAAACTAGGACCTGGGGTCCCTTTTCTCCCCTAAAGAAGGAGATGCGTAGGACCAAGCCGTCTAGGTCTGGCCCAGGCCTCCCAGCCTTGCTGTCCGCAGACTTCATGGAGCAACAGTGGCTGAGAGCTCAGGTCATCCTCATTTTGCAGAACAGGGAACCACGAAGGCTGAAAGAATCCAAGGAATTTGCCCAAGGACGAGCGTTTCCATGTGCTAGAATTAGGAGAGGGAGTCTTGGTCTTCTAACCCAAGACCTGTGATCTTGGAGTCCCATGCCAACAAGCCACTTAATGTAGCTCCTACCTCTGCAGCAGTCCTTTTTAGGGTGACACTGCTTTTGGGCCTTTGGTGACAATGAGCTCATGTTCTGTGGGGTGCCACCCCAGCACCATGGGGGAGTACTCCCCAGTGAGAGAGTTTCCTTGAATCACATTCAGAACCATCCAAGATCAAGCGCCCAGCTCAGAAGAGCTCTAGAGGACTTGGGTAGCTTTGTAGGCAGTCCCACATCTTCGGTGGCTCTGGTCCCCATTCCCACCAAAGATGTGAGCTCTAGTTCCTCCTTACCCTGACAATCGTCTCAGAGCATGCTCCAGGTGGACTGGAGCCCTCTGAGGCAAAGTGATCTGAACTAAGCCCTGCCACCTCTGAAGTCCCTGTATCTCACCTGAGGCTCAGAAGAGCTGCGTCACTGTCATGGTAGACCCCCAGGCAGGTGTGCACTTGAAGAGGGTCTCTGGCCAGACTGCAGGGAAGCTTCTCCCATGGGCCCATGCCCGTTATAGCTACAGCCCCTGCACAGGAGCAGGAAGGAGGAGAGCAGCCCAAATTTAGGCCACTCTGGATATGCTAATTAGTGGCACATTCATCAAATCAGGGCAGGACAGCTATGGAGGCCCAGGAGATGTTGGGAACACAGTCCCTAGATGACAAAGGAGGCATTAATGAGCCAAGCAGAGGGATCTATATTTGTTTGGGTCTGGGCTGGCTTTGGATAGTGAAAGGTCAGAGGTGGGATCCTGGAAGACCCCTGGAACGGCCAGAAAAAGAATGGAAATCTATCTCCGGAGTCCCTGAGCCCAAGCAGTCAGCATGAGTGATGCTTATCACCACTTACGGTCACAACTGCAATGCCTTGCGTCGTTTGTCCGGGTTAATCCGGACCCTGATGGCTGGGCATTGTCCCAGTTTCTCTGAGAGGAAACTGAAGCTCGGAGAAGCGAAGTAACTTGGCTGAGTCCCACAGAACAGAGATGCCAGCTCGGGGATTAGAAGCCGAGGTTATCTAAGTATGGAAGTGACACTCCTACTGCCCGTTTGCTCTCAGTCCCGAGGTGCAGGGCACCAGTAGAAAGGGGAGAAGTTCCAGGGGCATGGGCCAGTGGAAGGTGGCAGCCACAGTACCCAAGAGGCCAGATAGGAGCCTTCCCCAGGTCAGTTGTGGTCTCATGGACAAACCCCGCCACCTTTTATCCAAAAGTGGCTTTAAAGGAAAGCCCTTGATTCTGCCTCTACCACTTACCAGCTGTGTGATGTTAGTCAAATCACTTGACCTCTCTGAGTTTCAGATTCCTCATCCTATGCACAGGACAAATGCTTAGGTAATAATAATGGATGAATGACTCCTATTGTTTTTTGTTTTGTGTTTGCAAAATCAAACACATGACCTTGCACTTGCCAGGCAGGCGCTGTGCTGCTGAGCTATATCCCCAGCCAGGTCTCCTTTTTTAGACAGAATAGTAACAAGGGATCTCTTTGAAGGGGTGACAAGGTGTGAGACCCTAAAAAAAAAGATAAAGAGAAGCTTGGCTTTTGGGGAGACCAAATCAGGAAGGGGGGAGAAGTGCAAAGACACTGAGATAGCGACATGCAGCATGTTTCCAGGGGCATAAGAAGGCCCTGTGGAAATGGGGGTAATAATACCTATGCCAAGGGCTCACTGCGGTGGGAGAGGGGAGGATGCATGCAGAACACTCGGCCCATGGCTGGTATTCAGCAGGAGCCACATAAATGCTGTGGCTGCTCCCTTGTTGCCTAATGGCTGACCCACCTCTATCCTTGTCCCCATTTTTCCCTCAACCCCAGCTCCAGACCTTGGGGTGACTGATGTCCTAGAAGATGGAGGTCTTGCCAAAAGATAGTCCCCTCTCGGGGTCCTGTGACTGGGGTCGGAGGTAGGGGCAGGGCCCTAGGAGCCCATCTGTCCCTCCCAGAAGCCCAGGCACCATGAGTGAAGTTCTCTAACTGTTGACTGTCTCTTGCCTTCTCCTCCCCCTTCCTCCCTGGTTCTGGGAAGCCGGAGAACCTGTTGCTGGCCTCCAAGCTCAAGGGTGCCGCGGTGAAACTGGCCGACTTCGGCCTGGCCATCGAGGTGGAGGGGGAGCAGCAGGCATGGTTTGGTGAGTGGGGCAGGGAGTGGCAGGGTGGTCTTTGTGTTGACACTTAGGCCTCGGGGGACGTTCTGCCCAAGTAGGTGGGTTGGAGACAGCTGCTGGCTGCCAGGGCCTTGGCAGCAGAGGCCCATGCCACTCAGCCTGTGGGCCGAGGGGCACTGTACAACCTATCTCCCCTGGCACCAGGTGCAGGGATAGGGTCGTCACTGAGACGGAAATGTGGCTTCTTCGTTTTGGAAGGGCTTCCATGAGGTCTCTTGTGTCTGGAGGCTGGAGATCAGTATCTGGATTTTACAGATGAGGAAACAGGCTACACAACTTGGAAAACGTTAAGGGCACTTAAAAAGGTGAAGCCAGGATTTAAATTCAGATGATCCAGCACACTTTGAAATTTTGGTATCATTGGGGACATATCCGCTATCTGGGGATGCTTTTCAGTGGGCAAGAACCAGAGCTCCGGGTTCAGACCCTGACCCTGCTGTTATGTGTGACTTTGGGTGAATTATTTTCACTTTCTGTTTCCTTATCCCTAAAATGAGCATAATAATAGCTTGTTCATCCAGGACTATATGAGAATCAACAAAGACCAGGCATAGAAAGTGCCTAACCTAGGGGCTGGGGATTTAGCTCAGCAGTATAAGCGCCTGCCTTGCAAGCGTGTGGTTGTGAGTTTGATGTCCCGTACTGATTTAAAAAAAAAAAAAAAAAAAAAAAAAGTGTCCAGCCTGATACATAGCACACAGGCTCAGTAATTAGTAACTGCTTCCATGGTTGCTTGTTAAAATGTTTTGTGGATCTTTTATTTCAATTGATTCTCTCAACAACACTGGGAAGTATTGAAGACAGGAATCCCTAATCCTTTGATAGATTTGAAAACTGAGGCCTAGAAGATCAAGAAAGAGCCCAGGGGAGTTAGGGGAAAAGCCTGAGTGAGGAGGAGGCCTTCTAGCAGGCCATGGCAGCTCCTGCAAGCTGTGGGGAGTGGGAGTGGACAAGGGCTCAGCTCTTAACTTGGGGCTCACATGGCGAGCTCATCTCACCTTTAGGTTGTAGCAGTTGGGTCATGGTGGCTGCTGGGCAGGTTGTTTGGGATCTTGAGTGTTGGGACTGCTTCTTGCTGTCTGTGGTAGGCTCTGGAGCGGTGGCAAGTGTGCGGCACCTGGTCTGCCTTGCTCTGGAGGCTTCGCTGGCTTCCCAAGCTCGAGGTGGCAGGGCCGTTTCCACCTGCCCCAGGGCAACCTCGTCCCCTCTCCCGCAGGGTCTTGCTCCAGGTTACTCACGTGCCACCTCTGTGTGTGTGTCTGCCTGTCTGTGTGTCTGGGGAGCAGGGTTCGCAGGGACACCCGGATACCTCTCCCCAGAAGTGCTGCGGAAGGACCCATATGGGAAGCCTGTGGACCTGTGGGCCTGTGGTGAGTCCATCCAAGGGCCTGTTAGTGGCCCAGGGTGCCATGATGCCGGGACCCTCTCTGCTCTCCACCCCTCCCCTCGGGAGCTGAAGTTTCTCTTGGTCCTCTCCCCAGGAGTCATCCTGTATATCCTGTTGGTTGGGTACCCCCCATTCTGGGATGAGGACCAGCACCGTCTGTACCAGCAGATCAAAGCTGGCGCCTATGATGTGAGTGTCACTCCTCTCTGAAGCTGCCCCATCCAGTCACCTTCTGGTCCCCTTCCAATATCTAAGGATACATCCCTCTGGCCTTCCCAGATCATATAGGTCCCCTTGTCACTCACTTTTGGGGCAGGGATTGGGTCCTAGGGGGGCTTGAATACTGATCAAGTGGTACTCACAAGTTGCCCAGTGATTTGGGGCTCAGATTGATGGGCTGTATTTCTGGGGTGCCAGAGGGCAAAAGCAGCCCCAACGCAGGGTGCAGGGGATGGAGGAGGCCCTGAGCCTTGTCTTCTCCCATATTTATCAGCATATATAACAGCATCTGACATTTCTCTCACACTCTTCTGAATGTTTTACCTATGTTATTGTGTTTCATCTCACACTGATCTGTGATAGACAGAGGTATTATTCCCATTGTACAGACCAGGAAGCTGAGCTAGACAGAGGCTAAGCAACTGCCCAGATCACACACCCGGGAGATGATAAAGCAGGGATCTGAACCCACACAATCTGATTCATGCATCTGACTACCACGCTGTACTGCTTTCTGTGAGGCTGGCCTCCACTCAACCCTGTGCCTAGACCTGGCACGATCCTTAGGGTGACTCAGAGAGTCACATGACTTGCACAGGTCTCTCAGCCCGGGCAGCGGAGGCAGGTTGTGAGCCCAGGCCTTCTGATCCTGCATCCTGGACCATGATCACAGTCTCCTTTCCCTCTGGCCACATTCTGATCAGTCAGGAAGCTCTGACCCTCCCCTGTTCTGCAGGAGCCCCACTCATGGTGGTAGATGCCCCAGTGGATAGGTGTTAGAACCCCTGCCTGCTCCCCTGCCAGTCAGGGGATGGGGGATCGCAGGGGTGGCCTGGGGCAGTCTGGGCAAATCTGGCCCCTCTGCCCCTTCCAGTTCCCATCACCGGAATGGGACACTGTCACTCCGGAAGCCAAGGATCTGATCAATAAGATGCTGACCATTAACCCATCCAAACGTATTACGGCTGCAGAGGCCCTCAAGCACCCCTGGATCTCAGTGAGTTTTTCTCTGTGGGTACCCCAAAGAGCCCCACAGGGTCTTGCCTTGGCCCTGATCTTTCAACTCCAGGATGGGGTTGATGGGACTTAATCCAGTGAACTCTAGCCGTGCTGTAATGCTTGCGGGTAATAGAGAATTAAGGGATGCTGTGGGCTGGCATCATGCCTGGGCATGTCACCGGCATTGACAGGTGACAGGATCTCAAGCACTCCACATCACCCTCTAGAACAAAAAAGTGCATGCCCCATGGTGCCATCACACCACTGTGGGGCAGCTATGGGGCAGCTTAGGGAGCTGTGGGTGGACCTGTCCTCCAGCTGGCCTTCCCCTGATGGCCTCTCTCCCTCTCTCCCCAGCACCGGTCCACTGTGGCCTCCTGCATGCACAGACAGGAGACCGTGGACTGCCTGAAGAAGTTCAATGCCAGGAGGAAACTGAAGGTATCGGCTGCCCACCCTCCGTCCCCCAGGAGAGGGGAGTAGCCAGCCTGGGTCTCTCAGGGACTGTGAGACTTACTCACTGGTTATTTCCCTCACTGTTTTAACAAGCATTTGTGGAACACCTACTGCATGCTAGACAGCAGTTTGGGCTTTGGGGAGTGAGCAGCGAATCAGACCCTGTCCCCACCCTGATTGAGCAGCTGGTGGTGGAGAGGTCAGACAAGTACCCAGAACATGGTGTGTAGCGGTAAGTGCCGAGCCGGGCTGGGAGGAGCACATGGCAGGGCAGTGGCATTTCCAGGTCTGGAAGGACCCAGGCAGGACCCCAGGAGGCCTCCCTGGGGCACATGGTGTTTAAGTGGAACCTGAGAAAGGAGGGGTTCGAGGAGTGGATAGGCTACTGCGTAGGCTGCTGCTGCTGTAATCACAACCACTTGGGGGACCATGAGTGGCCCCAGTTGGCTGCAGAGAGCCCTGGAGGCCAAGCCTGACTGAGCAGGTGCCCACAGTAAGGGAGAGTGACTGAGTCACCCTGAGAGAGGTTGTGGCCGCCAGGAAGCCATCCATGACCAAGTAGGGCCTGAGTTGCCCCCTTAGCAGCAGTTCAGCCGCCACTGGGAAAGAGGAGCTCTAAACTGGGTGACAATGGGGACAGACTGAGGGACAGAAGGAAGGCTCCAGCTCAGTGGGAATCTCCTCACACACTGCTTCCAGACCTGAAGAGAGGGTCCAGTGTGGGGACGTGGGCCAGCGGGGTGATGCCGTCACGAGACCAGGAGAACTGGATCCCAGCCCACTCCACAGCAGGAGCTATGTCACAGAGGGAGTCTCAAAATGTGGGGAACAGGGGCTCGTAACACTGGAGACTGTCAGATTCAGAGTCAGGTCAGGAGCAGGCAGCATCAGCCAGGAGGGTTTCTCCCTTTAGGGTTTCTCTGCTCGGAGAATCCTCCTGGCCTCTGACCCTCAAGGCCAGGGAGGGGTGAACTTATCCTGAAGCAAGGAGCCATCAGTCCTGCATTAGGCTGAGGTCTGCAGCCCTTGCACAGGAGGACACTTCCCTGGCCTTTATGAGCCTCTGCAAGGTTCCTTCAAGTCCCATCAGCTCTGGCCAGGCCTCAGGACCTATTAATATCTGCTCCTGGGATGGCCTTGTCCCACGAGCTGTGCCAGCCAAATGCAACCTCTCCAGGGAGGGAGATGCCAGGTGAGGTGGGGGATAGATGGAGGGACAAGCAGAGGATTTGCCTTTGCTTCTGAGGGGAGCACTGCCTGCCCTTTCTTACACTCCTCCGTTTCTCTGCCTCTCCTCTCCCCCCCACTCCTGCCGGCCCCTCTTGTCTGTTGCAGGGAGCCATCCTCACCACCATGCTGGCCACCAGGAACTTCTCGGGTAGGTGTAGAGCCTGAGTCCCTAAGTACACCCTGTACTGGCCTGCTGCGATCATTGTCTTGCTGGATGTTTGGTCCCTGAGTGGGGGCTGCACGACCATAGTTTAGCACGTATGCCACAAACCCGTACCCGAAAAGGCAAGGCAACAAGCCAAGGACCAGTTCAAGGTTTCGACTGGCTCTCCTGCCTCCTGGGGTTCTCAGGCAGGGCCAGTCAGAGCAGAAGTCTGGAATTTAGGGGCCTCAGGTCAGAAGGGACAGAGCGAGGTCCGGTGGGGAGGGGGGTGACAGTATTGCTCCATATTGCTAGAGTCCTGGTGCTACTCCTGTTTTCTGGATGAGGAGACAAGTTCAATTTCAGAGAACTGGGCTCTGATACCCCAGATCACAGAACTATAGTGCAGCAGAATCTGCCTGCAACACAGGTCTGAACAACCCAGAGCAAATGTCCTTAACCAAGTTGGGTCACCAGAGAGACCAGGGCGGGAGCCTGCTTGGCCTTTAGCCGAAACCAGGCTGGGTAAGGCAGGAAGTGCCCAGCTACCTGGGCATGTGGCCCCAAAGAGAGAAGGGGAAGGGATTATGGTCAGGGCTTAGCAAGCAACTCCTCTTGGCCTCTGGCCAGTGTCCCCAGAGGCCTGTCCCTGGGGAGCCCCAGGCGATGACAAGGCAGCTGGGAAGACATAGATGGCAGATAAGGCAAAACTCACCCCAGGGGCGGATGGTGGGTGGGGCTGACACCTCAGCCAGAGGTCAGTCAGTCTGACAGGCACAGGCTGGCTATCCGGGGAAGAGCGGCCGGGAGGTGGAAATGAGTCAGAATCTCAGACTCAGGACCTTCCTACCCCTCCCCAGAGAGCAGTCCCACAGTTCCTTAAACTGAAAGATGAGCTAGCTGGACCGTCAGAGTCTTTTTTTAACAGCTGAAGCATCTTGAAGAGCTCTAGCCCGTGGAGGCCCATGGGTTTGATCTAGTTTCTAAATGTACTTTATGGAGTCAGGAGTGTTTTTTTGTTTTGTTTTTTTTTTTAATTTTTTTTGGGGGGAGTGGGGAGGATTGCTAGCCCTTAAAAACCAGAAGATTCATAAGAAGACTCAGATGAAAAATCTGGAGAAAATCAGCGTCTATGGCTTCTCTGGCCTTAAAACCCTACAATGACGGGCTGCAGCTCAAAGAGTGACCCTCCCTGGAACTGGAGAAACAAGCACCCCTGACCTGCTGTTTATCTCTGGGTCAGTCCACAAACCCCAGAGTGGACAGACAGCTGTTAGTCTCAGGTTCAGGGCCCAGAGGTGTTCCTCCCCTTGGTTTGCAAGTAGACTTTGGATCAAAGCTTTGAGGGGCCACAGGTGGAAATGTGGGAGACCTGGAAGTGGGTCAGCCATGAGCCCCATCCTCCAGAGCTCCTGGGGCATCTGTGTCCTGTACCATGTTCACCCTCTGGAGCCTGTCCAGAGAAGGACTGGTCATAGCTGCTGCTTAGAAGCATCAACTGCATGCAGGCTAAATGTGCTAAGCACTTCAGAGATCCCTATTTTGTTTAAGGCATTTGCTGAAGGTCTGGAGCAGCCGGATGCCAGACTGGGCCAGGCTGGGCATTCCTGCCATTTCCTGGCTGACGTTTCCTCCTCAGGCTACAGCCAGGAAATAAGGAGGAGACAAAGTGACAGGCAGAGGCCTCCCTAAGAGCTGTTTGCTCTGCTCTTGCCTGCTACCAGGGACACAGCCAACCCTGGCGTGGGACTCCAGAGCCTGAGGCTGGGGAGGCCTATGCTGCTTGAGGAGAAAGGCAGGGGATGGGGGCTCTGGCAAGGGTGGGCCCCGACGGGGGCATCTGCTTCTTGTCACCGGCAAGACATGGCCTGCAGCTGTCCAGAGTGAGTAGGCAGGGCTGACACATGACCTCCGCAGCAGCATGGGGCTAAAATTAGAGAGCCGGGTGGAGGATGGGGGGTGCGGGGGAAACATCCAGCCCGGGGCCAGGCAGCCAGGCCTCTGGGTTGGCCACCATCAGCACAGTGGTGATCGGGATCCAGAGGGAATCCCCGGGCTGAAACAGCAACCCCACTGTTCTGGGACCTGCTGGGCAGCTCCTTTAATCCAAGAAGCCAGAGGGTTACTTGAGAGTGCTGAAAACTGGGGCTTAAGCCCACCAAGTAGGCCACTGGCCTTCCCTGGGTCACTGAAGGCACAGGAAGAGACAGAAGAAGAGGAAGAGGAGGAGGAAGAGGTTGAGGAGGAGAAGGAGGAAGAGGAAGTCAGCCCTGTTCCCACGCCATCCACCTCCGGCTGTTCTCTGGCTGCTCGTGGATGCTGCTCTTCCTCGCCCTATGGGCCCTGGTGCCCTGCCTGGTGTTGCTAACCCTCTACTTTCTCTCCTCCACAGGAGGGAAGAGTGGAGGGAACAAGAAGAATGATGGCGTGAAGGTAAGGGGCCCAGGAGCATGGCAGCACCTGTCTCTGGCAGTGACTCTGCCCATGGGGACAGGCATTCAGGCCTGAGGTGAGACCTGGGCCTCGCTGCTGGCATTCTGGAGAGACATGGCCAGGCCTCCCCAGACCTATAGATCTGGACTTCTAGGCCTACCCTCTCTGCATGCTTGGTGAGGGATAGATGGCCTGGGGTTGGTGTAAGCACAAGGAACAGGGTAGGCCAGAGGAGGTTTCGGGGATTCTCCAGGGCTGGAGAACTGGTGAGCACAAGGGTTCAAGGATGGATAGAAGTGACCTCCTCCTGCCCGAGTGTGGGTGGCTGGAATGGGGCCCTGACCTGCTGAACACACCAGTCCAACCAAAAGAGCCAATGGAGAATGGACAGCCATCCCTTCTGGCTTCAGGATCCAGGGGTCCCTTTTCCCCAACAATATCCATGACCCCCTCCTACCTCCTGATGGGCCTATGCCTGTCCCCACCCTGGATGCCCGAGCTACTTTCTCGTCCTCTCTGCCGGCCTCTCCTTCCCATCTCTTCTCTTTCCTCCCTCTGCTGTCTGGGACCTGGTCCTCTGCTCTCTGCAGCTCCCTTCTCCCCTTGTCCCCACTCACCTTGTGGGTTCTTCTTTCCCGAGACCCTGTCTCATTCTGGGCTCAGCCCCTACCTGGCCAGGGCCTCAGGGCTGGGCAGGCTGAGGACATTAAAAGGTAAGAGATGTTATATGAGCATGGCCACCTATGGGTGTACTGGCTTTGTTTACAGTGGCCTTTACAGTCTTCAGCCACTGGCTTTGGTCTGTCAGAGGTTGCATGGGAAGGGTCTGGTCTAGACACCTCTGCCTCTAACCTTCTCCTTCTTGAGTTTACCTTGGGTATATTGAAAGAGATATGGACTTGGTGATCATTTCCAAGATTTCCACTTTAAAAATGGATAAACAAGCAAATGGCCACAGAGGCCCCTCTCCATTCTCTTTTCTTGGATGCTGGACAGTATAGTCGTGGGCTCTGAAGGATAGTTCAGTCAACTTCATGTACAGTGATGGTTGCAGAACTTCTAATGGGGCCAAAACTTCCTGATGCCTAGTATTTTTGTGGTGCCTTTCTGTTTAGATACACAAGCACCACTGCAATCCAGTTACCTGCTGTGCCCAGTTTAGTTCCATACTGCACAGAGTGACAGGCCTTGCTATGCAGATGTGCAGTGGGCCACACTTCTTAAGGCTTTGTGTGAACACCTCTATGATGACAGCAGTGCGACATGACCATGTCATGATGCACTTCTCAAAATGTGTCTGGCATTAAGTGGGCACGATTCTACAGTTATTTGCTAATCTGTCAAAATCTGTGGTTTTCAAACTGAGCTCTATGGAGCTCAAAGGCCCGAGAGGCTACAGATGGGCTGGAGTGGGGTTAGAAAGAGGAGGGGCCTGGTTTATAGAGTTCTAGGTTTTTCGCACCTCTTCGTGGTAGTTAATGGAACCAGGCAGGTCAGTGGGTGGCTAGATCTTGGCTGGTCATCTCGACTCCCTGAGCCTGTGTTTCCTGTTTCATTCAGTGAAGGGTGTCTACCTCCTAGGGCTATTTGCCCGGATTAGCTGGGATAATTGTGTCGAGAGCTTAGCACGGTACTGGTGTGTGATACATCCTCAAGAGACCAGCGACAGGATAATATTATCTGTTTTATATTTTAGACTTTCATGTCTTCAAAACAGAGTTTGCTCAGGAAAATATTTGGCAGCCAGGGATCAAAGGCAGTCGTGTTTGTAGTTAATAGGCGCCTGTTATGGATTCTGGCGCTGGGTTTTTGATTGTCTGCTCTTTGGGGCATCCCTGAGCTGGCTCTTCTCCCAATGTAATGAGGAATAGTGAGGTTTGCAGGGTGCGGCCTGTTGTCTTTGGAGAAGTACAGACCCTGAGCTGAGGGTGATGGGAAAGTGGTCTCTCTGGTCCCAATGTGGGGTGTGGGGGGCAAAGGCCACAGGCACTGGTGGGCTGTGGGCTAGGTCAGTGGAAGAGGAGGGGCTGTCCTCATCTGTGTGGCTCTCAGATGGGGCCCTGGCAAAGGCTGATGAAGGCCCCAGTGGGTGTGGGCTCGGGGAGCTCCCAGGGCTGGCATGAGGCTCTAAACCTAGGCAGAGGGTGTCAGAGGGCAGCTCAGAGCACAGGTGTCTCTGTTTCCTGCAGCACTGGACAGAGCCTGAGTGGCTTCTCAGAGTGGTCAGGGAATGGAGGAAGAACACGGAAGGCCATCTGCGGCCTGTCCATCTCTTTGTAGTACAGCCTCCTTCTTTCCCTTGGCACCTGGAAGGTGAGGGTGACTCAGGATTTGGGGAACACGGTCTGTCATGTGTCACTCCCTGATGGAGCAAGAAAGGCGCAGGGGTAGGAGAGGGATTCAGTCACGATTTCCTCAAATCAAGAAGCATATGTTTGGCTGGGTGTGGGGGTACATGTGTATAATCCCAGCGCCTGGAAGGCTGGGGCAGGAGGATCATCCCATGTTTGAGGTTAGTCTGAGCTATGTATAGAGTTCAAGGCCAGTCTGAACTGCATAGTGAGACCCTGCCTCAGAAAAGAAATTGTGAGTTTGAATTGAGGCCTCACCATTCACTCCTTCCCTTTGTGGACTCTGGTCCTGGATTCTGTCATCTGTACAGTGATGTGTATTGGGTTGTGTCAAGAGCTGGTAAGCAAGTCACATGGGGAGCTGTTGGAGCCAGCACAGCAGATGCAACTGAGCCCCAAAGGAGGGAAATTCATGCTCATCCTACAACTTGGTTCTCTGAGACAAATGCCATTCCAGCAGAAGCTGGACAGAGCAGCCGTTGGTTCTGGTGATGTAGAAAAGGCAGAGTGCCTGGAGTTACAGAGGTGACACTGTCTGTGCTTTGTGGGCCTCAAGGGTCTTTACAAGGCTAGTGCTGATCACACTCAATTTCCACCGCCCCCACTAAACTTTGAACCTCACTTCTGCGGGTGATTCTGAGAGCCGGACTTCTACTCTTGGTGAAAGCCCCTTTGTCATTTGAACTTAAAAGTGCTGGTCAATGTGGGATGATTGGTGTCACCCTCCTTTGTGATGCAGGGAAACTGAGTTCTTCCATCTCCAAGCAATGGCATCCCTAGGCTGTGGCTCTCCAAGGAGGGGCCCACTGCTCCCCCCTCACTCCACTCACTGCCCCTGTGGTGTCCCATCCATGCCGTCGTGACCTCTCTCCCCATGTCCCATCCTGTCACTGTGCGTCCAAATCTGATGCAGTCTCTGCTCTGTGTTCCCTACTCGTGTCCAGCCTGGAACCTCCTGGCCCCTGTGCAGCTCCTCGGATTTCTGCTGACAGCTGAGCCATGTGGGCTCATCCCTTTCTTTACACACTGTGCCTGGCCTGGGTCCAGCCAGAGAGGGGAGCCAACATAAAGGAGAGAGGAGAGGAGAGGAGAGGAGAGGAGAGGAGAGGAGAGGAGAGGAGAGGAGAGGAGAGGAGAGGACAGGACAGGACAGGACAGGACAGGACAGGACAGGACAAGAGAGAAGGGAGCAGGGCCTTTTCAGTTTGCTGGCTGTGAAGTCACACTGCCCAGCCCAGCTGGGAAGCTACTGTCCTGTGGGCACATGAGTATGGAAATGCCCAAGAAGCTGGCCCTGCCACATCTGGAAGTCCTGGCTGGAGGCTTAGAGCTAGGTTCTGCCACACAGAGGATCATGGAGTTAGAAACTAAATTAAACCTAAGACCCTCAGTGAGCATCCAGTGACCTCCGCGGCACAGGCCTACCCTAGAGGCGTCTCAAGTCTCTTCTTTGCCCCAGGCTTCTCAGAAAAAGGGCATCATCATGGTAGGATGAGCCTTCAGAGGGCGTCAGGAGGAATCCCCAGCAGAAGAAAGAGCCCCACACTCAGGGCCTACATCCTCACCCTGCTAGGGCAGTGCTGAGCAGCCCCATTGCCCTTCACTGGGTTATCAACTTGCACTTGAATTTGAGTCTTTAAGACTCCTGGCTCTGCAAGCGAGTGAAAGAGAAGGTGATCTGCACTTGCACTCACCTCCTGGCTCCACAGCCAACCCTGGGGACACTGCAGATGCCCCAAAGACTGGGCTCGGCCTGTTGACAGGGCAGTGAGACTCGGGTTCTAGATTCCATTCTGGCTGCAGCTCAGCGTCTCTCGCAGCATAAAGGAACCAGATCAGAGAGCTGCTGGGAAGCTGCGGATGCAAGCAACATGTCCAGGCCTCTGTGATACCCCCAGTGTCACCTGGGGAAATTGTTGAGAATAGAGGTGGCCAGATCCCACCCAGACCTCGTTATCAAATTCCTTAGAGAGGACTGGTTCTTTGTGTTTTTGACAAGTTGAGTTTGGGAGTGTAGCTCAGTGGTAGGATGTTTGCCTACCATGTGCAAGGTCATGGGTTCAATCCCCAGCCCTGCAAAATAATAAAAACCAACAAATTAATAACATCTCAAGTGACAGAAATGCTTACCTGGTAGAGAGGTAGAGCTCTTAGCAGAGCTTCTGGGGGAGCATAGGGGATGTATTTGGTCTCACATTCAGACCTGAGCACCTTTTCATCCTTCAAGAGTATTGCATTCTGGAGGCCTTGGATCCCTGGTATCCAAGAGCCATTCTGATGTCCCTCAGAATGAGGCACAGTGGGAAACCCTGACCTAGGGAGCTTGAGCTTGAGCTTGGCCATTCGATCGTTAGAACCAGGCTGCTGCTGTGCACAAGGACCCAGAACTGAGACATTTGGCCCCACCAGGGCAGCTGTGGCTGGTGGCCCTGATTCCTTGTTCTGAGGCCAGGCCAGCGAAGGACCACAGAGGATGACCCGGAGGCCCATCCTCCTTCCAAACCTGCCTGTCGTTTCTCTGCTCCCTGCCGTTTTCACGCTGTGTCTTTTCCTGTCCCATCTCTTCTCCTTGTTTTTCCAGAAAAGAAAGTCCAGTTCCAGCGTTCAGTTAATGGTGAGTGTCTGCCGTCTCCTGCACGCCGGTAAATGCTGGGCCTCGGTCCCTTGCTCCCCTGCTCCTGCCTCCCTCCTGCAGGCTGCACTGGAACCCAGGGCGGGGAGAGGGTGCTCAGGGCGTGCGTGGTACGTGTGCCTTGTGTGACAACATGTGTGTTGTGTGTGTGTGTGTGTGTTGTTTGCGTGTTTCTGTTGACATCTCCCTCCATGGCTCAGACCAGCAGGCCGACAGCAGAACTGAGAGCTCCTGGGGTACAAAGGTGGATTTGAACCCAATCCCGTGCCCGCCCTTGGCTTTTGGCTTCTTTCACCCCTCTGCTCTAGACCTCATCTCAGGGCTTGGTTTCTACCAGTTGTGGCCAGGGTGGGGCTTGATTTGGCTAAAGCTACGGCTTCCAGGAGGCCGCCGTGAGCTTATGCTGGCCACTCAGCCAAGGAGCCCCCAGCCTTGCCTCTGCCGGGGGCACCACATGAGGCACAGTGGCCCATGTCCCTCTTCTTCTGGTTCCACGGCTGTCTCACATAGTTGTATGATTTTCTCCCTCTGGAAAGCCTGCCTTCTCTCACACTGGGCATCCCTCTTTCTGTCTTCCTTTCCTGCCAGTGTGTGTGTTCCTTCCCCATTCTGTGGCTGCCATGGTGTCTCTCTGCTCCTCCATACCCTTTCTCTGCCCCCTCGAGCAGAAAGGACCCAGGATCCCCCTCTCAGTCCTTCCAGAAAGGCCAGGGATCTCCTTGTAGATATCCTTTCCTCCTGGCCCCCGCCGCCTGCTTAGAGGGTCCTCTCCTCCTCGGGCTGCAAGGTCTACAGGGTTGCAGGAGTATCTGGATCGAGGCATGCAGAAGCTGGCCACAGCACCAGGCAGCTGGGGCGGCCACACTCAGTCCTGCTCGCCAGGCAGCCTCACCGCCATCCTCCTTCTCTTTGGCAGGAATCTTCGGAGAGCACCAACACCACCATTGAGGATGAAGACACCAAAGGTAGGGGTGGGCCTTACCTTCGGCGCCCGGGTCCCAGCCTTACTGGTGCCCGAGGGCATGCCCTGCACTGGGAGCCCCTGGCCAGTCAAGGGCCCCATGCCAACCAGCTTCTTGCTTCTGGGCAGCGCCTTGTTTGGCTCCTAATAAGCTGGATACACCGTGGGGCATGGCCTCCCCCCGTGGGGCCCCAGGCCCTAGGAGGTATACAGGGATTTTTCTTTTTAGGGTTATAGATTTACTTTAATGTGCACAAGAGAAACATTTTATCATATGGTATAATGGTGATATACATTTGGAATAAGGGTTTCTTTTTTAAAAGTAAGTTGATTTTGAAATTATGAAATGATAATAATAAAGCAAGGGAGAACAAAAGTCTGGAAAGTCCGGATGGTGCCATGACTGCCCAACACCAACCAGCAATGCAGGGGCGAATGTAGCTAGTGGATCACTGGCCTCAAAAGCTGCAAGATGGGTGAGGAGCAAAGGTGTCTGTGACGGGGCTCTAAGAGAGGAAACAGAGTAGTGCTCGCAGCTGCGATCTGTGAACACCTGCTACGAACTGGGCTTGTTCTGGGTACTTTGTCTGGACCTACATACCAGAGCTTCATGGCAACCCTACGAAGTGGACAATATGATAAGCCCCACTGTCCAGCCAAGGATGCAGGCCACAGGACTTGGAGAAATTGGCTCACAAAGGTGGGGGTGTTGGGGGTTGAACTCAGTCAGTCTGGCTCCATAGCCTGGCTGGCCACCACCTCCCTGGGCACTTTCATGGGTAGAGGGCACTTGGAGGAAGGGACAGAGTGCTTATGTCTGAGTGCTTGGGGACACCAAATCCATGATGCATTAGCAATGTCCCACTGCTCCACCGTGCCTGGGCACTGCACTCTCCTTGGCCAGGACAGGAAGACTAGGTGGCCCAGGGGTTGGCACACTCAGCCTTGTTCCAGGGACATCTGGGGAATCTTTGAAATACAGAAAATGACCATCCACCAGAGGGAGCACAGCACACCAACTGAGGCTTTTTTCAGGAATTGAGATATTTTGCCTTGGAAAGAACTCAAAGCTACAATCATTCCTGTAACTCAGGCTGTTGGACAGTTTTACACACCACTTACCATGACTGCCTCCTGACCCCACCAGAACCTGGGAGATGGTTCCATCTTCATGTACCCTTGTAGGCATCCCCAGCCAGGGGTCACTGTATCACCACTGCCTGCACCAAGGACAACCTTTCAAAACTGCAGAAAGACCTCTTGTCAGGGTCAGCATTATGGGTTCCACAAGTCTGATCTTCTAATTGAATTCCTAGCTTAGATCCTGTGGATTCCAATTTCATAGGTTGGTGGTGGATCAAGATGTGGCTTTTCTATGATATTCCCCTATTGAAGGGTCTCTGTGCCAATGGTAAGAGACAGGCTCTGAGATCCTCAGGCAACTGGATGGCTTCTCATGATCACGGCTCAGCGCAAACAGGAACCGTGCAGGTGACCTGGCTTGGCACTACTCTGCAGGAGTCCATTTGCTGGACAAACTTGCACAATTTACTCAACCCGAGTCTCCTAACAGTAAAGAGGTGATGAGGATAGTAGCAGCCATGGAGATCACTGTACAGACGAAATGAGAGGCAGCATATAAAGTACATGCACAGTGTTTAGCACATGGTAGTTGTTAAAAAAATCTCAATTTTTTTCCAATTGGAGTTCGTAGTTTAATGTCGGAAAGTCACACAACGTATTCTTGGAATATCCATTTTACTGAAAGATTATTTAAGACAAATATTTATACGTTAAACAGACAGAGAGTACCATTTGGAATGGAATGCACATTGCGTGCACACCTTAATGCAGAGTGAGAGCCATCGAAGACGCTTCCCGCCTGGGCCAAGGCTCCAGGCTCCAACCCTGAGGCTGCATATCTGCCATCATCGTCCTTCAGGTGGACCAGGATGGGACAATTTATCATGAATTCTGTTCACTTCTGCCCCTCTTACCGAGGAGACTGAGGCCCACAGAGGAAGAAGGCTGTATACAGAGCTAGGATCAGCTTCCTGTCTCAGCGGCCTCAGAGGTAGAAAGTCCCAGAGACCATGTCTGCAGGAAGAGCACCTCTGCTGGTGTGGGGAGGAGAGAGGGATGCTTGTCCCTCTGCAGTCTCCCCAAGCTCAGAGAAAGTTCTCAGGATGAGAAGCACTACCCAGCGGTGTTAACTTGTTAAGCTTTCTTACTAAGTGAGCATGGCAGCTGGTGGGGTGGACTCGACTGGACCTAACATTAACGTTAATTAGATATGTCAGCCTCCAGGGAACAGATGCCCCCCGAGGGAAGGAAGGGACATGAATATTTCAGAGCCCAGGTTTCTTGCCTTAGGAGCCTCCTCCCCCACTTCCCTGCCTCCTCCTGAACAGCTCTCTGCAAAATTAATTTTCTCTCCAATTGAAACAGCTGCCTCAGAATCTAGGCAGACACACTCTGGGAAGTTTCAGGAATACAGGTCTCATCTTGTTGGTCTTAGCATGCTGGGACACTAAGAAAGTGCCTGGACCTCTCCAAGGCCTCCAGGTTCCCTCTGTAGGGAGGCACGCCTGCACTGCCTGGGCCACTTCCTCCTGCCAGAGAAATGCCAGAGCTGCTGCTGGCTGAATCCCTGGACAGCAATGGGGGTGCTGCAGGTGTGGAAAAAACCTGGAATCAGCATGAACTTCAGGTCTGAGAAGCACCAGGCAACCAAGTCTTTGGCCCCGGAGAACAAAGCTAGGGAACCTCCTGCCTGCCCGGCTTCAACTGCTGACAAACTTGGTGTCGAGTGGCTGGAGAGCAGTGGCCTGCACTGCATGCATGGACGTGTGGCATCCAGCATTGGAGACAGGATAGCATGCTGCTACACGCCTGGTATTTCTATGTTGTCCAAGCCACACCCGAGGCACACTTCACACTCACAGAGGTATCCAGACAGCCAGAAGACTGGGCAGCCAGCTGGAAGGCGGGACTTGGAAACCACAGCCTAGGGGGCCCCCAGCCCTCAACAGTTGGGGGTGATGCATAGAGATTGGGAAGTAGATGCTTGCATTAGGGGCCCAGAAGGCAGAAAAAACCCCAGGACCCTAACTAGTGGGGTGCCAATTTCAACTGGAAGGAGGGAGCTCCACATAGTGAGAGCTGTGAACCAATGCAATGGGCTGCCTGGCGGGCTGCCATCCCAGTTCCAGTGTGGGGAGACTGAGCCCCACATGTCAGGCTGCTGGGAAGCAGGCCTGCCCTGGCTAGAGATGCAGGCTTCCAATTGTGAGGGACGAGCTTCCAATTCTGAGATTTCCAGATGGTAAAAATGACAGCTCTCTTATGGAGAGCCAGAACTACTCTGAATGCTTGACCGGAGGCCTCAGCATTTACTTGAATGAGCTGACATTAGTGGGTTGGACAGCAGCTGGCTCTCCATGGGGACTGCGCATGTGCTAGCTATTACTACCAGTGCACTCTTACCTCACTTGATCCTCAGAGCCCCCAATAAGGTGGGTACTGTTAATATCTCCATTATAATATAGGGAAACTGAGGCTCAGGGCAGTCCCCTGCCCAACGGCGTACAGCTGTGGCAGAGCCATGATCCAAACCCTGGGATTCTGGCTCCAGTATCTAAACCCTCAGCCATTTCACTGGACTCCCCGTGATGGCAGTAAAAAGCCACTCATGGAAAAGAGGGCCATAAGCAGAGGCTTGTAGTACGACAAGCTGGAAGGGTCTCAAAATCCATGCAGGGGAAGTCAAGGTGGTGGCACAGGTCCTAAGTCCAGTCAGGGGTGTGTGGATTTGCTTGGGCTTCTGATTCAGTGTGGGAGTGACCAGCCTGCAGCAGCTCCAGCAGGCCCAGGCTTTCCCATCCTCAGGCAGCAGCTTCTGTGAAGGTGAAGGAGGCCAGAGTCTGGAGGGCCGGGGGCAACCACACCACTTGGGCAAATCCAGAGTGGGGCAGAGATGAAAGCCCCGGACTCTGGATCAGAGCCCCCTATCCTCTCCTTCATCCACTCCATCTCCACATATTCAGTGCAGGCTCTGCCCCTGCCAGGGAGAGTCCCAGAGAGTAAGACAACCCTGGAGTGATGTGGGGATGCTCTGAGTCCAAAGAAGGACCCATTCCCAACCTCAGTGATTCTAACTGGAGCCAGGTGAGAAAGAATTAGCTGTCTGCTGGGGACCAGAAATAAAGGATAGTTGCTCTGTCCACCCAGAGAGCACCAGCAGGGCCTCGAACATCCGGGTATGGGGAGTGGAATGGGCTTTGGAGCTGCAGATGCTGCCTGAGGTCAAAGCTCTGCCAGAGCTTGCATTCAGCTCCACTTGTTGATGACATGGGCATGAAGCTGAGCCATGAGACCTTAAGGTTGAACACACAGCCCAAGACCAGGAGCTTGCTCACCTCTCACTCAGCATCGAAGGCTGTTACAGGCTCCACGGAGGCCATGGCCCAGCCTCACCTTGGTGAGCATGCATTGAGTAGACATGCCTACTAGTCAAGCAACTGCATGGCACCAGCACTACAACAGCAGGTGGGTAGGGGCATCATGGTCCCCTGGAAAAGGCTGGGCTCCAAGCCAAATCCTGCCCCTTGCTGGTCACCATGTCCTTGGGCAGGTCCCAAGCTCTCACTGGGCCTCAGTTTCTGAAGCAGTTTCATAAGGAGGTTGAATCCCTGATGTCCAAGTGTTCTTCCAGCATGGATGTGTGTGATTCTGCATCCCCCAGACTGGATGTGAGCTCCTGCTGTGTGGGCAGCAAGGGCTTCAGCCAGACTGGCTCCCCTCTCCCAGCCCCAGCTGGGAAATTCTGTGGCGCAGCCCGAGTTCACAATCCTGCAGCCTCAGCTTCTGGGGTCAGGCCGAGTCTGGGCCTAGAGGAGGAGGGTGGGTCCTGAGGACTGAGGACTGAGGACTGAGGGAGGCTTCTCCAGGACACACGGCTTCGGACTCCTCCACCACTGAGGTTCAGGTACCTCATGTGTGACTTGGGGCTATGCTGGCCTCACCTATTTGTGAGGAGCAGGCGAGCCAGGAAATGAGAGTGCATACAATAGGCACCTGCTGTGTGCCAGGCTTTGGGACAAGCCCTTTGGGTTTATCCCACCTTCCAACAGCCCCAGGAAAGGGACGCCAGCATCTCTATTTGACGGACCAGTGGTTGTATGGCCCTTGACTACACAGCTTAGTCGGACCTGGGCTGGAATTTAAACAAAGATCTTCCTGAACTCTTTTTTTTGTTTTGTTTATTGGTACTAGGGATCGAACTCACGACTGTGCACTTGCAAGGCAGACACTTATGCCGCTGAGCTAAATCATGTTTGGCTTAGAAAGAATGACAGGTGATAACATGCCAAGGCTTAGAACCTCATGTACCTAATGAGAAAATGGGTGCCTAACTCTCTTCCAAGACCAGCTGTTTGGTGTTTCAATAGCAGACAGGGAAGAGCAACCGAGATTCACTCACACTAGAAAGTTCTAGACAGCTCGGTACCTGGATCCTACAGGCACCCAATACTGAGCAGGAAGCTTGCCCAGACAGGAGGGTTGAGTAAGCTCTGAGGCTTTCCTTTGTGGCCTCAGATTCGGCCATGGCAGAACGCTGGTTCCTGCTGTCAGCGTGGATGCTGCAGGGGACACTGTCCTGACTCACATGGCAAAGCTAGGTGCAAGGGACACACTTTGGATTCAAGACCAGCATTCAAACCAGGCCTAGAGTCAGAATGTCCACTGTGCTTTCTGAAAGTGGAGACTAGGGGCTGAAATCTGCCTTTGTCCTTCGCAGTTAAGGGAATCTCACCCTTCTGGGCCTGTTTCTTCTGTGAAATGGGGTTTATGGGATTTCTTTCTTTCTTTCTTTCTTTTTTTTTTTTTTTTTTTGTCTTTTTCATTTTTATCGGTACCGGGGATCGAACTCACGACTGCCTGCTTGCAAGGCAGGCGCTTATGCCGCTAAGCTAAATCTCCAGCCCCCTATGGGATTTATTGTCCGGGGAAATATAAGGATAAATGAGAAAACCTGCACAAGGTCTCAGGGCCCAGCACAGCCTCTGCCTGGCACGTAAGGGCTTAGGAGACAGTTGGTGCCTTGTTACTACTGTTACTATTATTTCTGTGTCCCCTCCTGCCTTGCAGTGCGGAAACAGGAAATTATAAAAGTGACCGAACAGCTGATCGAAGCCATAAGCAATGGAGATTTTGAGTCCTACACGTGAGTCAGCTGGGCTCATTCTGCATGTCCTGCCTGGGTCGAAGTTCAAGGGTGCCGAGGGCTAACTTTGGGGGTCCTTCTCGCTCCTCCTCACTGATCCCACCCCCTCACTCTGCATGTGCTGGGGATGAGACAGAGCTCCTGTGCTGCCTGAATTCAGACGTGATGCGTCCAGCAAGCTTCTGCTCACAACACTCCTGCCCCCCTCAGTCCTCCTTCTCCTGCTCTGCCTCCTTGCACAGCATTTCCGGAAGAAACCCTAACGAAATCCCTCTGTTCCCCATGGAAAGAGGGGTCTCTATCCCGGTCCTCTGTCCTCTGGAGGAGGACAGAGAGCAGGCCATGCCTCAGTTCTCTGAAAAGCCTGGTGCTTGCCCTGCGCCTCCTCAGATCTCTTCCCACAGCTGGGCAGGAGTGGGCAAACACCAAGAGGGTGGGCACCGTCAGTGAGAAAATACCTCGAAGCAGATTCATCATTCATGACAGTCTGAGAGAAGAAGGCAGGCACACACAAATGGCATAAAATGAAACAGGGGGTCAGTCTGAGACTTCCCAAACACCCCTGCGCACCTTTGGAGGGTCTGCTATGTGCACGGGCTGGGCTGGAGCGCCCTCTTGTGGCCTTTCCTGATTTCCTAGTCTGGCTCAGAAGCAGCCTCTGGGCTGACCTCAGGGAAAACCGAGATTCTGGGCTTATTTGACCTTAGCGTTTAGGCCAGTGCTGACAAGGTCAGTGCATGCTGACCCCCCACGTAGACGTTTTGGTGGACTTAAGCTGCCACCCAAGGTAGGTGACCCTGGACATTGGATTAAGGGTGAAGGTGACCTGGCTGGGGTTTGCTCTTTGTACAGCTTTTTACTGGTTTCCTCTGTACCAGGAGACACAGTGTCCTTCCCAAAGGTGTGGCAGGCAGCACATTCTCACCATACAAGGATTCAGCATCAGTAGGGGCAAAGCTTCTCTCTGGAGATCAAGGCACTTGGAAGGTGCACCTGTGAACCTGAGGCTGACATGCACTAAACACATGTGTGTGCATGCACTTGTACATGTGTGTGCATTTGTGACTGTGCACGCAAGGGCTATGCACAGCGGTGTGTGTCTGGCTGTTGTCTAAAAGCACTGAAACTGGCTGTTCACTAGTCTAGCAGCCAGCCCTGGAGAAACTGAGTGGGGTTGTATCTTGCCTGTGGCTCTAGGCAGGCACAGCCAGAGAGTAAGGCAAAGTGGGGTGGCTCCTATGGACCCTAAGACCATCAGTGCCATTTCTGAGGGTCCTGGGGCCCCTTTCCACTTCTGCCATATCACCTCTTTTGGCATCTGTGTCTTGCTCTAGGTTTTGACCCCTGTCATGATCTCTGGGGCTGCGGTCCCCTAGAGTTGGGGCTTCCATATCCCTAATAAGTAAGCCTCATCTTACTGAGCCTCAGTTTCCACACATATACAATGCATCTGGAGCAGTAGTCTCCGAGCTGCCCAGAGTAGGAGGCAGGAACATTCAGACACTTCGCCAAGCAGGGCTTCTTCTATGCGGGTGCTCAGTCTCCCACATGGTCAGTACTCAGCACTTATACTCAAACAGTTCTGGAGCTAGAAGGGCCCTGAACACCCCAGTTGGTATAAGCACAGGCCCCCACCCCTGGCTTACTCTGCAGAATCTGAGATCCCAAGTGGAGAACGAGTTGCATAGTGTCACCCACGAGGGGTTTGTCCAGCTTGGACAATGCTGAGCCTGCCACGTTCTGTGCCTTCTCCAGTTCTACCCTGGATAGGGAGTTTCACCTGCTAGGGGTGTGTCCTGCCTGGGCTTCGTTGCTGTTGTCTTTGTGGTCATGGTTGTGCCACCAGAGCTCCTACAAATCTGGGGGTGGCAGATGATTTATTCCCTTCCCTTGCATGGCTGTCAGGGGCTCCAGAAGGCTGAGACCTGACAGTGCAAAACCCACTGGAAACCCCCAGGCTCTTGTTGCTGGGGCCTACTTGGCCAAGCCTGGTGCCCCTTCCCTGCTCCCAGGCAGCTCCTCCTCTGATGCTGCTTTCCTTATCTTTCTGAAGCGGAAACTGAGGCTCATAGTCCAGGCTGCCACCAACCACAGTTCAAACTAATAAAACAAGCCTCTGGCTTGGGTAGCAGAGGTCACTTTTACAAGAAGAAACGGTACCTTCTGCCTCTCCCATGAAGACAAATTAGGAAAAGTCCTCGGGATCCCCTGCTCAGAGCTGGGTAGAGGGTGGTGAGCGGAGGGGAGGCTGAGTCGCATCCTGCTGCACCTTCTGTGCCTGCCCACTCATGGTGTTCTCGCTTCGAGATGCTAAGCCACTTGCTTAGGGTCTTATAACCAGCAAGTGGCAAGACCTGACCCTCAGCTTCCTGGATCTGGACAGCACCAGTCAGTCAGTGACACCCCCTCACTTGGTCCTCAACTTCAAAGTTAGCAAGCTCCATCCCACCTGTCTCCTTGATGCTGTGAGGACGGAGCAACCATCCCCACGTCCTGGCTCACCTCTAGGGGCACTGCGAGAAGCTGCCCCAGTCCCCCTCTCCTCTGGTTTCCTTCCTCCTAGGAAGATGTGCGACCCTGGGATGACAGCCTTTGAACCTGAGGCCCTGGGGAACCTGGTCGAGGGCCTGGACTTCCATCGATTCTATTTTGAAAACCGTGAGCAATCCCTTCTCTCTGGGGTGCCTGTTGTCTGCTCTCGTTTCCATGTCCTGCCGGATGGCACAGCAGGGTGACGGGCAGGGCCTCAGGGGAAGCTCAGGAGCCCGTGAAGAGGAAGATGCTGTGTGGACAGGGGTTGGTACCCTCTTGGTTTTCTCTCCTAACCCTGGCCTTTCCATGGCCAGCTGTCTCTCCTGTGACTGAGGATGGGCAAGGGGCAGGGTGTCTCAGAGACCAGGGATACATGGGACACACATGCCTGCCCTCAACCCTGCAGAAAACGGAGCCTTCCTACTGGCTCTCACCCCAAGTGGTTTGGGTGCTCGGGGATCACAAACTGACTTCTGATTGTGATGTGTAGGACCCTGTACGTGGTAGTTTGGGGAAGGGGAGGACAGGGAGCTCACACTGCTGTGCCCTGCCTGTCTGTCTAGGTCTCTGTCCTACTTGTCTTTCCTTCCTGGGCCTCCTGTTTGCAGGAGGGATCTCTGCAGCTTTGCAACCAGGCGCTGTTGGTGGGCTGAAGCCTGGCTTGACTAGGGCGCTTTCTGCCTGTGTCTGTGTGTCAGCTAGGCCAGGGGTCAGACAGGGACTGAGCAAAGAGCACACAGAACCATGCAGTTCAGAACCTGGAGGAAAGGCCTGAGAGATGGAGGATTGCCAGGGTTCTGCCAAAGTGAGGGGCACCTACCCCTGGGGGGGCACTACACAAAGTGATTTCAGGTGTATATGAACACTACTCAGCGCCCTAGTTTGCATGATGAGAAAGCTGGTCAATTTGAATTCGCTTTCAGTTCTCTGGCCTTGCCAAAGGGAAAGACTCAGTCAGATGCTAGCCTATCTTCAACATGTTTCTCTGATAGTCCCTAATTTCCCTCTTTATTGAAGAGCAAGCATAGCAGGGTATGGGGGCCCACACACCTCTAACCCCAGCATTCTGCAAGGCAGAGTCAGGAGGATTCCGTGTTCAACTCAGCCTGGGCCTTTTAGTGACTTAATGAGACCCTGTCTAAGACAGAACAAAACAAAACAGGCTGGGGGCATAGCTTACCACAAAGGCCCTGGGTTCAATCCCCACTACCCTAAATAAATAATAAATTAAAAAAGCAAGCAGGTCCCAAGATGCCTTCCAAGCAAGAGCATGGGGCAAGGGTTATATAACTAGTTTGTTTTCACTGGTCTTATTAACATTTTATTCTGTGAGGCTGATTGTTAACTGTTATGCTAGAAAGTCTTTTTAAAATAAACATGTAATTTAAAATGTTTTCATAAAATAAGCACAGGTGGCACTCACATATGGTAACAGTAATAAGGGTGGTACTTTGATCCTGAATAATCTTTGTCATTCAGAAGGAGAAACTGAGGCCCAGAGAGGGGCAGTGACTTGCCCCAAAAAATCCCAAACATCAGCAGCAGAACTTGGCCCCGTGTCACCCCGATGGCCCTTGCCTTTTGGGTGTTGCCTGGCCCATCCACACACTAGCGGCCTTCCTGGCCTGACGGCCTCCGCTGGCCTGCACCCATTGGCTGAAATTTATAGAATATAGAGGCTCCAAAACACTTCCTGCTCCCACAGCAAAAAGTTGTAGAAAAGGATGCGCCATCATTTTTTAATGACTTGAATTCTGGTTCTCTAAGGCTAGCAATGGAGAGTGAGTTCTCATACAAAGAGCATCCCTATGAGTCCCTGTCACCTCTGAGCTCCCACAGATCACTGCCACTGTCATTATACCTCTGTGCTCTGGGGGCACTGGTTCCCCATGTAAACTCTCCAGGCTCCACAAAGAAAAGCAAAGATCATAAAGCTCCACTCTTCCAACACAGGGAAAACCCAAGGGACGCACAGGGAAAGGGATCATTCATTCCCCAGCCCTGGCCAGCCTCCCTGCCTCGTGCAGGGGGCCTCACGCTTGGCGCAGTCCCTGGCTCTCAGCAGCTAGCACAGCCTCTGCTCACCTCCAAGGCGGGCCCCACAGGTGCCAGACCCAGAGGAAAGGCTCCCTCCTGGCTGAGTCCCAGCTGTTCCTGTGCAGGACCTTCTGCTGTCCCCACGTATCCACCAGGATGCACCTCAAAGTCTCTAATCTGGTTCAGAGACACCACATTAGGAATGGCGCCCCAGGGGACCCCAGCCCTTACCAGAAAACAGCAAAACTCCTCCACCCAGCAATGCTAAACTGATGTCCCCTCAGGAATTATTCTAGATTTTCCTATGCCAGTTCCACTGGAAGCCTGACTTCTTTTAGTTTGGCTGCATGTATCTCAGGAAGTGGCCTCTTGTGGCATTTCTGGGTCTGTTTCCACGTTAAATGGATGCATTGAAACAGATGGCCTGTGGGTCTCCAACCCTTCAGGGAAGTTTGCAGAGGCCTCCTTGCATTTTGGGGACCTTGACCTCTGAGGTTCCTCCTTAACATGACATTAAAGGGTACATTCTGTACGTCCAAGAGTCCAGGATTCAAAGTCTGGGGTTCTGTAGTCTGAGGCTCGTGGTTTTAGCTGTTAAGGATTAGATAGAGTGTGATGAGAATATTAGGGAATGGATGCTATTGGATATTTTCTGCAGTCCACAGAACAAAACAAAATAAAAGGAAACAAAACAGACATTCCATATTTTTCAGGAAATAACTCGCAAATTCAGCTAGACATCAGAATCAGAGTGGTGTCAGAGATCGGACATTTGTATTACATTTCTTGAACTGGGAATGTGTATTTTAAACTCCAGCGGTCTCCCAGTTAGTTAGGACCCACATTTAGGTCAGTCTAAGGGAAGGCACAAGGGTTCCCCTAAAGGGGGAGAATCTACCTGGACATAGTGGCGCTCATCTCAGGACACTGGGGCAGGAGGATCACAAGTTTGAGGCCAAACAGGGTGACATAGCAAGACTGTGTCTCAAAGTTAAAAATAAATTCTTAAAAAGGGCTAGGGGTGTAGCTCGATGGTAGTGTGCTTGCCTAGCGTGTGCAAAGCCCTAGGTTCAATCACTAGTATTGCAAAAACGTGCTGTCCAACCTACCCCTGGGTTACTGTCTTTGTGTGCTTTTGTATTCTATTTTAATGAAAAAAAAATGAGTTTCTCAAGCCAGTACAATAATAATGGGGTGGTGGCTCTTTCCCGCAGTGGGAGTGGGTTTCACTGTGTTTATGTCCTTCCTTGATCACAAGAGCTATCCTTTTCTCCTAACTGTGGAACGCTCCATGACCGCCCTCCATGCCTACCAGTGTAATCCTAAAAAGTCCAAGGTTCTAAGTTCTACAGTTCTAATAGTCTCCAACTTTCCATGACCCACATCCAGAGTTGGCCAGTCGAGGGGACATGGGCCATATCTGGGTGGCGGAGATTTCATGGGACCTGCAAGTTTGAATTATAATTTAAAATAAGCTTTCGTACAGAAATCCAGATTTCTCAATTCTCTTGAGAAACCAGGTGTGACAATTTATTCAACACAGTGACAGCAGGGAAAGCCTTGGACAAGGAGCCCTCTTTAGAGAGACCCGGGTCTTCCTGTCACCACAGCCTTTCTGGCCCAGAGGGAGAGGACCAGTTGTCCTTCAGCATTTTGTCCCCAGCTTGGCTCCCTTGTTTATGTGCTGCCTGGTCCCTGCCAGGATCTGGGTTGCAGAGAGATCAAGCTTTTCTGGTTCTATGATCATCTCGGCCCTACTTTTCTGTGTGTCCTAAACCCCTGCCATGTGTGAAGGATTCGGAATGTCTGAACCCCACCGTCCCTAAGCAGGGTTGTAACTTCTGTTACCCAGAATTTCTGCCCTGACTCCCAGGCGCCCGAGGCTGTCCCAGGGATCCCCTTCTGTGAATGAGGCAGACAGGGGGCTGCTGGGCATTGGGAGAGTGGAGGAAGGTAGACAGAAGGCACCCGGCTGCATCTCCTCCGCCTCTTCCGTTGCACCTCCAGTGTGGTCCCGGAACAGCAAGCCGGTGCACACCACCATCCTGAATCCCCACATCCACCTGATGGGCGACGAGTCGGCCTGCATCGCCTACATCCGCATCACGCAGTACCTGGACGCGGGAGGCATCCCCCGCACCGCCCAGTCAGAGGAGACCCGCGTCTGGCACCGCAGGGACGGCAAATGGCAGATCGTCCACTTCCACAGATCTGGGGCGCCCTCCGTCCTGCCCCAGTAAGACCCCTTTCCCCCTGTCCCCTCTGGGGTAATCTAAAGGCGGGGAAGGGGTGTCAGCCTGCAGGGGCGCGTCAGGCTCAGGAAGGCTGAGGAGGGCTTGGGTGGGGGACCGTGGTGCCTGCCTCCAGCGCCCCACACCCACTCTGTGTCTTACAGTTGAAGGACCAGGCTGGGGTCGCTGCGCTGCTGTGTCGCAGGGATCCACTCTCCCTCCGTGCGATGTGCTGCTGGTTCTCTCCCTGGATTTTGCTGGAATTCTCCCCACCACGCTCCCAACCACCACTGTCACTTCTGCACCTGTATCGAGGAAGCCTGCTTGTCCATTAAAGCCATCACGACTTTGCTGCGAATGGCCACCTCCTGCTCCCCCTTGCTCTCTCCCTGCCAAGGTGGGACCTCTCAGGTTTGGGTGCCCAGGGTGCTGGCCCCAGAGACCCCCAGCTTCCACCCAGCTGTCGAGGGCCTGGGCTGGCCTTGGCTGCAGGCTAGACTGCCTGAGTTGTGGGTTCACCAGGGCCATGAGCTGGAGGGATGCATGACACGGGTGGCCGGCCCTCTCCTGGCTCTCACCTTTTTTAGGGTTCCTAGAGAAGGGCAGGTGAACCCCGGAAACTCTCCCAAGCTAATCTCCCTGTGGGAGAGGGTGAGAGAGGCGCAGATGCCAGGAGCCCCTTGCCTTGAACTGCTGCCCTGAGTCTCCCCGCCCGTGCCAGCCTCGTGGTGGTCCGCCGCCCCTGCCCGCCTGCTGCCCGCGGCCCACCACAGTGCGGGGAGCTGGACCCCTCAGCTGCCCCTCTGCAGTCCTGTTACTCTGACCCTCTCACGCACCTTCCCACCCATGGTTCCTGGAGAATTCCAGCCTCGTCCAGTCTGAGAGAAAGAATCTGTGTTTCAGGGGCAAAAGAAAGCAACATTTAGGTATCTCTCCTACTTGGACCGCATGCCTTTTTATAGACAAACCTCTGTGTATTTCGTAAATGGATTTCACGTTAATGGATATTTATGTAATAACCAGACCTCTCAAATTATTGTGAGGAGGGTTGGGTTGGGAAGAGGGCTTGGAAAAAGAGATGAGGGGTAGCTTTTGTTCTGTTCCACATTTTTTTTTTTTTTTTTTGGTCATTTCTGAGGTGGACCTTGTCACCGGTAGTTATCCGGGGCCAAGATGGACTTGGCCCCAGAAAGCATGGCTTCTCCGCCATTGCTTGCCGTGGTCCCGAGGTAAGCCCGTGCAGGGCTTCCTCCAGGACCAAGAGGCACCGTGTGAATGCATGACAGGAGCGGCAAGGCAGGAGAGGGAGGGATGGCCCAGGTGGAGGTGTCTGGACTCTGGTTTGCTTCTGGATCCTACTGGAGTCCTACTTTCCAGCATTTTCTCCCACCGTGTCTGGGTGCCACCCTAGTGTCCCTGCTCTGGGGTGGCCCATGAGCATGTGTCTCCATCGCCTCTCTCCCCTTTGGCCTCTGATGGCCAAAGCAAGCCCTGGAGATTTCTACTCTTTACACCTCACGCTGCATCTTGGGTTTGCAGCCCCTGCCTCCTCCCTCCCTGGTCCTCTGCCCCTGGGGTTGGTCCCATGTGGAATGCCTTGGCCCATCCGCGAGGATCTCCTGTCTGCACTGTTTTCTTTGCATGACTTTATACACAGTAAGTATGTTGAAAAAAAAAGTAAAAGAAAAGAAGAAAAACATTCAACAACTCAATCTACATGTTTTGGACAAAAAATTAATAATAATAGAGGTTGTATTCTCAATGTCCGACTTGGAATTACGTCGCTGCCTCTCTGTGCTTTTGGCCTCTATGTGGCCGTGTTTTGCCAGCATGAGATACTGTCCCCTCTGGAGGATGTTAGGGGAGGAAGAGCCGCATCCCCAGGGTTTTGGAGGAAGCTCTGGTTCCCCTGACCCTCCTGGGTATGGTTTGGAGCAGAACTGGTGAGAACGTTTAATCCAGAACTTTCTGAGTTTACCCCCATCACGAGGTGTCTGTTGAGCTCTTTTCTCACATTCTGCTGCCCAGGGACAAGTGAGACAGGCCAGGCTGCATGCCCAGGAAAGTGGCTATCCAGGCCTCTGGTTTCTAAGCTGGCCCATCACTGGCCTCCGTCCTCGGCAGAGACCCTGCTTCCCAGGCCCAAGGGTGGGTTATTGGCCTAACCCTGGCCCAGAGGACTCCTCAAGTGAGGCCCAGTGATCCCCTTGTCCCAGCAGAAAACTCATGTCCCCCCATGACCTGCCAGCTCTCCATGGCCATCCCCAGCCAAAGGTGAGGGTACAGCCTCACCAGGGGATGCTGTAATTACTGAGCAAAGTCTGGTCCCTTCTTCAGCCTCAGTTTCTCCATCAGATAAAGGTGAGTTAAGTCCCTGTCTAGGCTGATGGAGGATCAAATGGATGGTGAACATGAAGCCCAGCACACCTGTGAGAATTTATAGGGCTTGCCATTGGCTGGCCTCCTGTTTGCTTCTAGGCTTGGCCAGTTCCCATCCTCTCCCCTGCCGACCCCTCTTTCCCCTCTTTGGTGCCTGTCCGCTGCTTTTCAATCGTGGACTGCAGGGAAAGAGAAATGGTTGTGGGGCTTACAGACTTTGGTTCCTAGCACTGACTAGACTTGCTGTGTGACCTTGGGTGAGTCCTCTCTCCTCTCTGGACCTTGGTTTCTTCATCAGAGGAAATCAAGCTAAAGGACCCCAACCTGCTTACACTGGCTGATGCACCTCTTGTCCACTGTGTGCCTCTCCATGTGCTAGAGAATTAGAAGCAGGTCCCTACCACAGGCTAAGATGGCCCCACTGCATAGGCCACTCCTGTGGGAGGCAGCCACTTGGTGTCGGCCCCAGGGCACCACAGTGGCTTTTAGGGGACACTGGCAGAAAAAGCTGCCCTGAGCCCAACTCGCCAGACAAGCTCTGTGCTCCTCGTGAACACCCTTTAGATGCAAAAAATACAGACCCGAGTCAAAATCCAGGCGCCAGCATGCCAATCCATTTACAGGAAATTGTTCTACTAGTTTGTGCCACCATGGTGCGAATCTTGACCCAGGGCCTCCTGTCTCCCTTCAAAGGGAGACCCTTTGGGATGCGTTTGCCAGACTCCCCATGCTGGTTTCTTTGTTATTATTTGTTTGGGGTTCTGTTTCAGTTGTTCCTTTTCTTTTTTTAAAAAACAAAAACAAAAACAAAAATGTGGCTGTAACTTGAATGACCACTGCTCAAAATTTCTGCTATAGCGGGGTGGGAGGGAAGAAAAGGGTTGTCTGTTTTATTCTTGGTGTTTTCAGTGCAATAAATAGCTATAAACTCGTGTGCACTTTGTTTCTCCTTGTCTTGGTCAAACATGACACCCTAGTAGATGTTCACTTCCTGTTCTAGTCTTCCTAGTTGCAAAATGAAAGTCCTGATCTTCATTCTGATTGGATGCACTTAGGTCACATGCTCAGGGTTGAGCCAATCATTATGGGATTAGGTCTGGACCACATGTCCCATCCATAGGGCCAGGGATGGAGTCAGCTTTTTCTCAGACAGTTGGGGCACCTTTAACAAGGGAAGGATGTAGATATGGGTTGCCACAGTCAAGAGCTAAATCCTCCCTCGGGGACTTCCAGGCAAGGCTCTGTCCTCTAACCTCAGTTTTCCTTGTATGAAGAGGTGGTTGTTCTGGAAAGAGTCTTCTCCATTCTTTTCATTCAGCTCAAGCTCATGGACAAGCCCCAGCCCTCAGAGCACCCAGGGAGGTCTGGAGAATAGGATAAGGGGAGGAAAGTTCTCTACATCCTCAAATACACCATGAGCCAAGTGCCCTGGCAGGGCCTTGGGACTGGAGAGCTGGATGGCTGTGGGAGGCCCACAGGCTACAGAGGAACTGAGGATCGCTGATCCAGAGTAGTGATGCAGAGGCTTGAGGCCTCTTTGGCCCACAAGAGTGGCCAAACACCCCGTCTACTGACGCATGATTTCCAGGGCTAAGACCAGGACAGTCCCAGGCACACGAAATGTTGATCTCCTGAACCCACCCCAGCCTGGATCCCGCAAGACCAGCTGCTTTCCTGGTATTTCCTTGCTGCTGTGGTAGGAGGAGTGTCTACGGGGAGGGCGCTTCTTGCACACACATAAGGCCCTTCACGGTGAGAGCACAGGACAAGGCTCAAAAGAACAAGAGAGACTTGGTGACTTCTGTTTTCACCTTGCTCAGTAGCCCATAAAACCTGCATTGGGGACTCCTAACTCAGTCGGGCTTTTTCCCCCATGGGCTAAAAGGTGTAGGGGTGCGAGTTGCCATTACACAAAATTGTCAGCAGGTGGCAGCATAGGAGTGGCCGACAGGTGGTCCTGGACCTCTGCATTTGCCAAGCTCTGAAGGGTTCAGTTGACCAGAAGAAATAAGAAGCCTTTACCTTTCAAAAAACAGCAGCTCCGCTTAACACACTGTTATTAGCTGGGGCACGAGGCTCTGTAGCTCACAGCATCCTCTAGTCCTAATACAACAGTCCTATTTTGAAGATGAAGAAGATAGGGAGATTGAGAGGCAAAGAGGCTTCTTCAAAGCCTTCCGAGGCAGGACTGGCTTGGCCTCCTAATTTGGAAGTATAGGGCTGTCATTCCCTCCAGGGACCTCCCTCACCCTGGGTCGGGCTTTTTTGCCTCTGGATGCCAGGAATTCATGACTGCTGTTCTGAGAAATTCCCCTCCCCGTCACCCTCCGTCCCTGCCTAAGTACTGCCTCCTCCACTGTCTACATCTACAGCCTGCATGCCTGGCTTGGGTCCCCTCATGGGTTCCCACTGTGCCCTCCCCTCCCCTACCGACTTCTGGTGTGCTGCCGCTAAGCAAGAGTCTGCACAAGTGCTCCTGGAGTGCACAAAGGTATTCTGTCCATGCTTAGGAGGCATACAGCAGGCCCGGCTGTCTCACATGGAGTCTCCCTGCGGACTCGTGTTGCTGGAGTGAAGGAGGGGTGGACACGAGCAGGTGTGAGCATCCTACACACCTCTGCAGGACAGTGGTTCATGCTGGGTGCCAGTGAGGGTCAGGTACCTCTCAAGAGCCTCAGGACATCCCTCTGCCAAGGGCACTGCCATTCTCTTCACTCCATGATCAAGGGCAGTGCTGTCCAAGGTTGAGGGCAGCTTCTAAGTAGGATCAGGGCACAGGGTCGGGGCGTGAGATTTGGAGTCTGAGCCATAGCATGGACCTGCTTCCTTGTGTCTGCTGGGTCCTGGCTGGAATCTAAGGGAGGCTCAGGGGTGAGCGTAGACCTGTCTCCGTCCCCCACGAATCCCGGACACAGTCTCAGACAGAGAATGAGAATTCAAAGCAGGCAAGCCTGCAGACTGGATCTGGAGGTACAAGGTGTAGGGAGCCTGGGGGAGGATGGAAGACAGAGAGAGAGACGGCTGGAGGCTTGGGGGCAGCTTTGTGGAGCAACCCAATGAGAGTGAAGTGCGGGGAGTATTGAGGAAGGAGCCAAGAGAGTAGAGAGCCGAGGCGGCTGCCCAGGGCACTGGGTGGTGGGTGTAGAATAGGTTCAGAGCCAGAAGTGTCGGGATGGAGGCTGCCCAAGCCTACTATGGTGTGGTTATGCCTTCGAGAACGTGGGGGGCCCCAGCAGTGGAGATGCCTGCCCAGACCCGGGCCACAGCCAGTTTTTCAGGAAGCATCCTCTAGCAGGTGCCGGTGTATTTGCACAGGGCAAGGTGGCGTGGGCCCGGTCCATGGGAATGGGCCCCTTTCTGTCCTTCCTCCTGGGTCCAGCCCCACCCTCCCTTTTCCACCAGGCTTGCCAAGTTTTCAAAAGCCTTTCCCTGAGGGTGGCCTGGCCCAGCCATCTCTTTGCACACCCAGGTGGATGAAGCTAGAAGAGGCTCATCATTTCCTCCCGAAGAGAAAGGGGTGTTTATCTCCAAATGTGACTCGGATGAGTCACAACAATGGCATTGAATCTGTGGTCTTCAGCTTCGGGACCAAGTTGCTTGGGTCTTGTCCTCCGAGAATAGGATCTGTCAGGCTGAGCAGGAGTCCAGGCAGCTGCTGCTTTAGCAAGTACCAGGCTTGGGAATCCCACACTGGGCATGGCTTTCCAGGTCCCACACACACTGGGAGCCCAAAGATGCAGATTTCTTTCGGGAAGCCCCACCCCAGGATTCCCACTTCCTCATCCTCCTCTCTGACTCAGCTAGATCAATATTGACCATGGGCCTCTCCCCTGCCACCCAAGCCCTGCTACTCTCTGAGACCCTGGTCAGCAGGGTCAAGGTCAAAGTGAGGGGTAGGTGCCCGGGATGATCCTGCTGTGCCACTCACACTTTGCATCCCCCATTCCTGCTGGCTCAGCAAGGGGGTCTCGGCTCACTGGGGAGACCAGTTCAGCCTATTCTGCATGAGGTGGTTGGGAGGTGCATTGGTTTCCAGCCAAGAGGAGCCAATCCCAAACCCAACTTGAGGAAGGGCCACTGCTTTCCTCCCTGGCTCCCACAGCATGGTCCCTAGGCATGATTCAAAAGGGTAGGTGGAGGGAGAGAGTTCTGCCTCAGCCTCTTCTCACCTCTGAGGGACTTTGGTGGAGCCCCTAGTTGCTGTTTAACCCCTTCATTGTACAGCTGGGATACTGAGGCCCAGGCTTGTCACCAGCCTCCTCAGGCCATGCTGGGCTCTAGACAGGCTGGTCCCTGGCTCCTTTTTTCCTGTGCTGGTTGGAGATGGGAGCTAGGCCTCCTTGTTCTTACCTGGACAATGGCCAGCTGGACCCATTCTACTTATAGGGCTTTCCATGCTCTTTTCTGTTATGTACTTTGATAATTTCTTTAATGTAAATGTTAAGCATCTAATATTTCATTTAATTCACTGTGAGGGGAAACCTATTCTTCCCATTTCAATCTGAGGATGACGGGATTTGGAGAGGTGAAGCAGCAAATTCGGTTGGGACATAGAACCAGATTTGACTCTGGTCAGAAGATGTCCAAATTTATTTGGTCCTTCTCAAGACCATTTTTGAGGGTCTGCCGCTCACAGATGCTGTGGACATTAGCAGGAAAAGGACTTTTCCCCCCAAACAGAAAGTGTTCCTGGACGGTGTGCTAGGAAGAGGCCCTGCTGGTCAGAGTAGGCGGGCCGCTGCTCTGTCCTCGGAGGAGAAGGCCAGAGTGGCAGGAAGTCAGGCAGAGACAGAGCTGGCCGAGGATCCGCAGGCAGGCAGGCGGCCCTGGATGCCCTTCCCGGGCAGGACCTGTGTCATCGAGGCCTCAGGCCCCAGAGGGAGCGGCCTGGAGCTCAGGGAGCCAAACTTTCCATGAGCCACCGGTAAAAAATGAGTGTGGAAGACAGTGGCCACTGCAGCCCCTGAGGCTGTGCAACCGAGGGTCACGTGGGATTTAGACTCTTAACTCTTTGCTGGTTGTTCCAGGAGCCATCAGTTTCACTCTCCATCTGCGAAGCAATGGACTGGAAGGAAGTCCAGTCTTGGGCCTGAGGAGTTGATGGGGCAGAGACCACAGACCCGAATGGATTCTTTCAATCGATGCATATCATGTGTCATCGAGCTTCAGGCCTGTGCTGGGCACCCCACAGCTTAACCCAGACCCACAGAAAGCTACCAGGGAGGAGATGTCATTGCCCACATTTTGCAAGCAAACTGAAGCTTGAAGAAATGCTCCCCACAATGACCCAGCTCTGGAGGGGCAGAGTCGGAAAGGGCCGGTGTGCGTGTGCAGGGTCTACATGAGGTCTGGCTGCTGCCCTAAATGTACTGGGGTGCGAGGAGTGTGATTAAGAGCCTTAACCACAGATACAAGGTGTGTTTTCCCAGAAGGCCATGCATGCCCTTGGCGGGGCCTGCCTGTCAAGACTCACTAGACACTGAGTGAGGAGCCCCAGTGGGACTCTGGGATTCTGCATGGGGCTGGAGCTTAGGCTCACGGGGAGGGTATACTGAGGGGGACTCGAAGGGTGGCTGTAGGGTCACACAGGGGACCAGGTGAAGGCATCACCTAAGTGAAGGATGGGAGGAGGGACTCTGCGCCTGCTCAGTGCACCGTGTGGAGATGAACTAGCAGGGAGACGGTGAGGAGATACAGGGGATGTGCCTACACCACCACTGCAAGGTAACCAGTGACCCCTGGTGTCTGTTGGCCCTGCTTGACTTGGGAAGAGGCTGCCCTGGTGCTCTGGGGAAGATCCCCTCCTGTTCCCCCTCTTCTATCCATGTTGCTGACAGAGATCAGAAGCCGGAAGCCAAGGCAGAGGGTCCAGTGCCACACCTCAGCACTGCCTGACACCTAAGGAGTCCCCTCCCTGATAACCCTCTACAGAGATGCAGAGGCCAGGCTAGCTAGACCCCTTCCCTCCCTGGGAAGGGCAGGAATCCCAGCCCGGCGGCTGGGCAGGTGAGGATGAGGAGGACAGGCAACAGGGGGGCATGGAGTTGTGGGGTCTGTAGCCTGCATCTCTCACAACACACACTTGAAATCTGGGAGAGGAGAGCACTGAGTTCTAGAATGTGCTATTCTGGCTCTGGGGTGTCTGGCTACAGTGAGGCAGGGTGAGAAATGTCAAGACCATGGCCCCTGGTGGGCAGAGAAGCCGGGCGCTAGGAGACCCAGTGCCAGGGGCCCTGCTTGCAAGGCTGGGCTGTCCTTGAGTGTGGGGAGAAGCATCCCAACTTGTGAAGGCCACTGTTGCACCCACTGCAAATGAGTAAATTCATCCTTTTCCCCATGGGAAGCCCCAAGAGAGGTGGGAGAGGCCTGGCACTTTGTTAGGGGAAATGTATTAATACCCGAACATGCAGTCCTTCCTTTGAATTTCAGTCAAAGCCTCGCAAACACCCGGGCCTTGCATTTGACAGCCAGGGCTCTTTCATGTGGCCAGGCACTGCCAGGAGGGAAGCCCTGACTCCTTCCAAGCCTGGTCTTCCAGCTCCAGGCCTCACCTGCCAGAAAGGCCGACACGGAAACAAGGAGAAGCCAGCCAGCCTAGAGCGGCCGCTCTGGGAGAGCCTTCCCTGCTGTGGATCTTAGTTTATCTGAGGGGACAAACAGCACTCTGCAGGACAGAAGTCATCTTCTGTCCTCAGCATCCCCACTCGTGCTAGCAAAGGGCAGAGCAGGTTTAGATCCCAGGAGAGCCGGAGAGGAGGTGGCAAGCTCAGTCTCCCTCTGACCAGCAGCAACGGAAGACTGCGCTGCCCTCCTCACGCTCTTGGCAATCAGGAGACAGGAGGATGAGCTCATCCGATGTTTATTAACAATCAACCGACAGAACACAGAAGGGCTGGGAGAGGCCAGGAGACAGGGCACGAAGGCCACCGGAGCTGCACCAAGGTGCCCCGCTCCACTGGAGAGCACTGTGCAAGAAACCACTGTGGCTGGCACCCACCCTATGTCTGAGGGGACCAGGAACCCGGGGCCACCCCCAATCTCTGCCTCTGCCCTCACCCTGGGCCCTGGAGCACAGCACATGGCATCAGGATCGATGACCACATGTGGGCCGTTTCTGCATCTCATGGCTTCTCTAGTCACACATGGCCAACACCCCAGCAACAGCTGGGGATGAGGGGGGACAGTGAAGGCCTCTGAGATGGAGAGAAAGGAAGAAAATGAGCCTGGGTCCCACCTGCCCAGCTTGTGACTCACAGACTTCCCTGCCATACCCGGGCACAGGGGCAGGTGCCTCCTGTCTTTCGTTTCCAGCCCAGTGCCCTAACTCAGGCCCCAACTCCATGGGCCTCCCATGTCCACCCTGTCCCCTAGTGCACACTGCAGAGACCCAAAGTGATGTTAGGAATCATGCAGCTCCCCTCCCACCCATCGCCCCAGCTCCCCTCTCTACAGGTCCTCACTGGGACCAGAATGCCTTTAAAGTCCTCCACCATGGAAATCTTCAGCCATGTGGGGTTCCACAGGGGCAGCTTGGCCTTCCCTGGGCCCAGGGGACAGCCCTGGCTGAGACGCCTCCTCTTCCTTCTCTTGAAAATGTCCCTTCACCCAGGACCCTCACGCCCACTTTTGGGAAGCCCAGCCTGTACTCAGGAACCTACAGGGATCCTTTTTTCCACCGAAGCCTCAACATCTGGGGCCCAAGGAGCTCTGTGAGCCTCTTTCTTCCCTGCTGTTGGGGCTGTGTGTGAATGTGAGGAGAGCTTCCCCGCACAGAGAAAGGCCAGGCCCTGAACAGAGTGACAATGTGCGGAAAGGGTGCAGACTGGTCCAGAGGCCCAAGACCAAGTCCTCTCTACCACGTGACCTTGGGCCAGTCCCTTCCTTGATGGCCTTCAAATGTCCTTCTCCAGAGTGAGGGCTGCACTATGTGGGGGGAGGAGAGCGCCAGACGGAGGATTCAGGACAGGCACAGGTCACAAGGCAGAAATGCACTAGGGTTCAGCATCACTGTGGCAGCCTCTCTCAGCCTCTCAGAATCCCAGCAGCGCGGCTGCACCTGGCCGACTCCCTGGCAGGCTGTGAACCCCTGCAGAGGCCTGAGGTCCATTCACCGCTGGCCTCACATCATGGACTCCTCTTCCTCTGCGATTTCACGATCCACCTCGATGGCCGTGTTCTCAAAGCTGGTGATGCCTCCGTACTTGCGCATGTGCACCATCAGTGGCTTGGGTGACTGGCTCCCGGCTAGCGTGGCCACGTACATGCCTGTCCGGTTCTCCTCCAGCGACGGGCCCCAGTCCATGGTTGGCCGGCTGGCCTGCTGGAGCCTCTGTGCCAGGACAGTGACATCGGTGAACACAGCCAGCAGTGCAGACTGTGGCCAGGCACGAAGAAAAGACCTGACCACATCACCTGGCTGAGTCCCTGCAACAACCCCAGGGCAGGGTGTGTGTGTGTGGAATGTTCCTCCTCACGGACCAGCTGGGTGGCCTTTGGGGAGTCTGTAACCTGGAGTCATGAGCGCTGCTGCGACAGCACTGCGATGATGCCCTCGGCAGGGTGCCGGAGCGGGCAGGGCCTGGGAAAGGGTGCCTTGGGAGTAGGAGGCAGGGCTCTGAGCATCTGCAGTAGAGCCAGGAGCCACTCTGGCTCCGTTGCCCCAAATGCTGAGAGCAGAGGAGCCGGGGGGTTGTAGGCAGGATCCAGGAGAGCTACGGCAGGACCGTGGCTGCCTCCTTGGGCCCTCCAGCCCTGACTCTGACCTTTCCCTCTTGAGCCCCCGTTTCCATGGAAGGAGGGAGCTGACCACTTGATGACTCAGCCTGGACAGTCTAGAGCTCCTTCTTCCTCTGACCTCGTTCCCAAGGTCCTCTGCCTGCCCAGCCAGGGAGAAGGGCCGCCCAGTCTTGGAGAAGGAGGGACCTGATAGCAAGAGAGTACATGGGGCACAGGCTCCAGGGGACCTCACATGCAGAACGCCCTCGGCCTCAGGCCTAGCACACCTGGTGCTCGAATGAGGGAAGGAAAGCTCGGGTATTCCCAGAATGCAATCCACTCCTCAGAAGCCTGCCCACGGCTTCTCTTTACTCGGCATGAATCTGAAGCACTCACCACGGCCTCCCGTGTCCTGCCCAGGACCTACGCCCCTGCCCCTTTATTTCCACTCCTTCAATGACACCATTCCCTTTGCTGACCTGCCAAACCATCCTGCCTCAGGGCTTTTGCACCTGTTGTCTACCTGCCCTGAACGCCTTCCCCCAATCTATGTGGATCACTGTGCACATTTTGCCAGCATTTTCTGGGATCCTCCATCACTTTGTATTCCTTCTGCTTGACTTTTCACGTCCTTTTTAAAATATAGCACTTGCCACTGTCTTTATGTACTTGGTGCTGCCTGTCTCCCATAATAGAATGCAAGTTCCCCAAAAGCGAGAATTTAGATGTGTTTCCAGCTGAACCAGGTGTCCGGAACTAGGTTTCTCAGCCTTTTGTTCTTCAAAGTTTCATTCTGGGGTTGTCCTGTGCACGGAAGGACATTTAGCAACACTCCTGACCTCTGTTCAGCAAATAAAAGTAGCATTGCCCTGTCCCTCTACACTCTCTGTGACAACCAGCAATGTCTCTAGACATCACCAAATGGAAAATTGGCTGTGTAGGAACCCTGGTCTGGAGCTGAGCACTTCCTGGGATCGGCCCTGTGCTGTGTTGCTTCCTAGGAGGGGCTTCACAGTATCCCCATGAGAGGGGTATGATCATTCTCCCCACCCTCTGCCCCATAGATTTTAGAATTAGGGCCCAGACTGGTTAGTTAAGATAGCTGAGGTCAGAAGTGTGGGAAGTGGTCATCCTTGGGATTTGAACCCAGGCAGCCTGACTCCATCCAGAGCTTTGGAAATACCTGGCATTTGTATCCCCAACACCTTATGTTGATAAGTCATTTTTCTCTCTTCACAATAGTCCTATAGGCAGGTAGCTCTGTTCTTATTTTAAAGACCCAAGAAAGCAACATCAGAGACGTTGACATTTAGGAGTTTTCTTAGGGTCATTCATGGCATGGGCAAATGGCAGAAGCAGGGTCCTGATCCTAATGAGTCAGGGCCAGACACCCCAGCCTCTGAAGGTGGCACTCCTGAGCCAGACAATGACTCCTCTGCACAGTTCACTGCCTGGTACCTTTCTGCCTGGCTGTGGGCAGTGGGCAGCTCCCGAAGTGGCTTCCGGGAATGCAGAGTTTCCACTCCCTAATCAGTAAGCCTGAAGGACCATCAGCTTCCTGGAACCCCAGCCTCCACTGAGCAGCTCCCCACTCTGCCTCTCTTTCCTGACTCCCTAAAGCAGGATGGTGCTCCCTGAGGAGCCCAGGGGGGACTCTGGGGCGGAAGGGAAGAGTTTGCCGACAGGCATGTTTGCTGAACTCTGGGCTGTCCCCGTGGTGTGGGGTACAGTCACAACGCACTTCTACTGCTGAGGGTGGCAGAGCGTGAGTCTTTCTCTGGTTAGAGTCTTGGAGGTGACAAGGTGACAGGAGGGCTGTGAGGCGGGTAGTACAGCTATAGGGCTCTGTGAGGTGTCAGTGAATCTATCAGCAGACATGAGGAGGGCAGGGAGGGCTGCTCCCTAGCCAGCTTCCCACCGCGGTCAACTCCAAGCTACCAGTGCTTTACCAACCGGCTCACAGCACTCCTGAATACCAAATAAGTAACTCTCAAAAGCCAGGACTGGCTGGCTCCCCAACCCCTCGGACAGATCCTGTGTTGGAGAAGGTCTCCACTTTCTCTACGGGACCCATCAGGTTCAGACAAGTCCATGCCCAATGACAGCCTCTGGCCACCAGAGGGCTCCACACTCAGAGCTGCAGAAGTGAAAGGCTCAGTGTAGAGAATGCTGGGGGTACAGAGAAGGGTGGGACCTTGCTTTGTAACACATCACCCTCAGAAGGTTGCTGTTTCCCTCTTCTGAGGCCTGCTGACACCTGTGCCCAACAGCTTGTCCTCTGCTTTCTGGGTTTCGCCACAAAGCCACAGCTTGGGGCAAGGCTTTGCACTGTCATTCTGTCCCTGGCCACTTATAGCACATAGCAGGGGAAAGGTGCCAGTCCACCTTTTGGGGTTCCTCAGTGCTGCCTGAGGAACTGTGGGTGTCAGCAGGAAGCTCTGGGCTGGTTACCTGGGATCAAGTCCTGGTCTTGGTCCAATCCATGGTAGGACCTTGGGCTAGTCCTTGTCATCAAGTGGTCTTTGTCTGCCCCTCTCCATGACCCTATGTGCTGGGAGGTGCCAAAGGCAGGCCTCTAATCTGCCTCTTACAAGCAGGTCTCTTTAGGCTAAAGAAGCCCACAATGCCCTGGTGAGGAGTGAGGGTCCAGGGCAAGGCCAAAACCCGGAAGGCAATGTCAGACATCGAGGGCAGACTCACCTCCCAGAGTGAGCCCTCTTGTCGAAGCACAGCCAGCAGCATGCCGGCGGGGATCATGAGGCAGGACAGCAGGCCCATCAGGATGCCCAGTAGCTCGGCCCAGGCAGGGAAGCGGTAGCTGCCGTACTCTGAAGGCTGGTACTTGACGATGCTGTACACCAGCAAGGCCTATAGGATGAGGACCTCAGTATCACAATGAGCTCTAGGGCTTGGGATAGCCCAGGTCTCAGTTAGCGTCCCAAGACCTGAGGTAGCCCAGCTCAGAGCCACCCAGAGTCCTAAGTTGTACCAGACTCTGAGCTAGCATATCCCCGAGACTCTGTAAGCCCTGAGTTACTGTGGCCCCAAGCTTACCCCACAGCAAAGCTAGGACAGCTCAGCTCTGAACACCCCCTCCTAAGGGGCCTGTCCCTGAGCCATCCCAACTCAAGACCAAGAAAGCCTAGTGTTGAGGCCTTAGTCTGGGAAACCCCACCGTCTTGCCAATCGAAGGCAGGACTGGCCTAGCACAGCTTCGAAAGCTGGGGACCCTGGGAAGGGAGAGAGATGCAGGCTGGGACCCTCCCCTCCAGCCTGCAACCCAGGTAGAGGCTCTCCCCTCTGCCAAGGCGGCCTTATCAGACTGAGCACAGAAGAGAACCAGTCAGCAACCGCCACCCCACCCTGCTTACCAGGAGTGTGGCTGGGGACAGAAATAGCCAGCAGGCCCTGAAGTAGAGGCCCGGCTTGAAGCCCAGCATCATGTGGATGTCTCGGCAGAACCTCTGAATGCCTGTGTGGAGGAAGAATGCCTGTAGGCTTGTGGAAGTCCTTCTCCCAGTGGCCCCTCGCATCAGACAAAGGGACCTCCAGGTAGACCCCATTTTCCCAAGTCGGGAAGTCTCGGCTCCAACTCCCAGACCTCTTCTTACCGTATACCCGGGTGACAGCGAGGCACGTGGTGATCACCACCACCATGAGCCCGAAGCTGGCGCTGTAGTCATCCAGAAGGACCAGCCAGTACATGCCCCCCTGAAATAAAAGTTGCAGTGCTGGTCCCCCACCCTCTGCCACACCTCCTTTTCTTAGCAGGAAGTTAGCAGGAAGTAGCCAGGCTGCCAGGAGAGCCAGATGATGACAGCGTCACACTGGTCACCTGCCCACCAAAGCACCTGCATCACCTCCCAAAAGCGCCATATGGCAGAACCCCCATTTACCAAAGAGGAGAACAGACTCAGGGGGGCCAAGGCCCTCAGCATGTACAGGACGAGGTTTGAACCCATGTCTCCACACTCTGAGATTCTGCCCTCCTTTGGAGACAGGAGGGACAGGTCCTCCACACTGAGGAAGGCAGAAGTCTCAGAAACTGCTCGGCCAGGACTTCTGCAAGCACCGTCCCCTCCCTGCCCAGCCTGCCTTCTTCCAGTCAGGCCACTCACGTCAGTGGTGAGGATCAGCCCCATCAGGTACATGGATACGCAGATGAGGCCCGAGAACACCGCCTTCTTGGGCCGCAGGTAGTATGGGAACTCATCTGTCACTGCTGTCACAATGGTCTCCAGAAAGGCAAACTGGATGCAGGAGCAGGAGGTGAGGTCAGAGTTCTCCCCACCACACACGCACCACAAGGCCCCACACCATGCAGAAGGCTCACCTGGCTGTCCAAGCCAAGTGTCAGAAGCATGAAGAAGAAGAGGAAAGACCAGAAGGGCGACAGAGGCAGCATGGTCATGGCCTGTGGGTAGACTACAAAGGCCAGGCCAGGGCCTGGGCCAGAGCACGCGAGGTCAGCAGCTTGGGGCATGCAGTGACCCCATATACACACACCATACACATACCCCTACGCAGGCACACTCAGGGACAGGCACCAAACATACACTTCTGATGCTGTTTTAACCTTGAGGCTCATGTCAGCCGAGGTGCTCAATAAATACAAATTAATAGAATAAATGACTTAGTGATGGTGAGTGCATGAATAAACATAAGCTCCGAGTATGAAACCTCACTAGAACACGGGCGTACAAACACGTTTGTGCAAAGACTCACTAGAACATACTTATTGACATTCATGACACAAGTCGCGCTGATTCACAAGACCATTCTCACCCTTGATTTGTTCTCGCTTGCACACAGACGGCTCACCACTGGATGCAACTCATTTGGACCAACCAGCCACAGGAGATGAGACAATCTCCACAGCCTCACCTGCAGACAAGCTAACACACACAGAACCATTTGTACACCTGTCCCTTCACATACAGACACCGGAACCAACCATGACGTGCTCATCTGCATGCACAGGCATGTACAAGCTCTGGCAAGACACAGAACACAGTCTCCCCGGTCTGCACACACATTCCCAGCTCCAGCTGACACACCCTCGGCCCAGACCCTGGCACCCTGCCCACCTGCTTTGGCTACTTGATCCACAGGCACACCCAGCTCCTGCGACATGTAGCCCAGCACGGAGAAGATGGCAAAGCCAGCCAGGATGCTGGTGATGGCATTGCCCAGAGTGACGATGAAGGTGTCTCTGCCAGGAGAAATCCGGACACAGACCAGCGTGAGATGGCTGTGCCCTCAACCCAGAAGGCCCTCCCCGGCCAGCCACTTTTCTTCTGGCCTCAGCCCCGGGGGCTGAGAAGCTGCAGGCACTGACCTATAGATGTTCTGGTGAAAAGTGTTGTAGGAGGCAAAGGTGAGGAGACCCCCGAAGCCCACACCCAAGGAGTAGAAGATCTGAAGAGCAGCTTCGATCCATACCTGTGCCAGGGAAGGAAGGAGACGGAGGAAGAGAGGAGGGGGTGGCACATTTGGGGTGCAGGGGGCAGGCAGGAGGAGCAAAGGGGCAGGCCTAGGCAGGGGCACACAGTCCAGGCACAGTGCGGGGAAAGCCAGGCTCATAAGCCCAGTTCTAGCACTTGCACTGCAGGCTGTGGACCAGCCTCACCCCTCCGTGGCCTCCGCTTTCTACCTGGTCTAGCAGCTGATCGCTAAGCTTGGTCCAGTCCATAAGCAAGGAGTGTCTGATGGAAAGCTTCCCGCAGATTCATTTGAGCTCCTATCTTTTTTTTCCCTGCGTGGAGTCAGACACCCCTGGATGGGGATCCCAGCTCCACTGCTCTGTAGCTGCACAGCTCTGCTCTGGGCTGCAGGTTCTTTGTAAGTAATGAGGGTGCAAGAATGGTGCCTGCTCATTAGGGTGCAGGAGGCAGGAATGAAATCACTATTAGCACAGTGCTGGAGCAGGGTCATGCACAGCCATGGGCCAACAGATAATAAAGGTGAGCTGCCAGGACCATGCGGTCAGCAGCATTAGTGCTGAAGCCTCCTCGGGGTTTGGAGACCAACAGATCTGGACTGAATGCCAACTCTGGTACTCTCTAGTCACGTGCCTTCAGCTTATCACTCATCCTTATGAACTAAAGCTTTTTCATCTGTAAAATGCAAATGGTAGTGCCTATTTCATAGGATTTTAAAGAAATGAAAAAGACCCACGTGAAGGGCCGGGCACACTGCTTAGCTAAGCTTTCCAAATGAATGATTCCTGCCTCCAATCCCTCTTTTCCCCACGGAGCCCTCTTTCCACTCCTCAGCTCTGGTCTGACCCTTTTCTCTGGGCCCCAGCCCAAGGGCCTCACCTTGGAAGACAGCAGGTGGTGGAACTGGGGTGTGAGATAGAACTGGATGCCCTTCCAAGCCCCGGGAAGCGTCACTCCACGGACCAGCAGCATGAGCAGGATGAGGTAGGGAAATGTGGCCGTGAAATATACCACCTGAGAGATGGGAACAGGGAGCTGGGGGCGGGGGCCTTCCCTCTACACCCCTCCTCTTCCTGACATCCTCATGTATACACTCTTCTCCCCCTTGGGTGGCTTGAGCCAGAACCTGGCTATCATCCGTGTTGCATGCCTCACCCATGCAACTCATCAGCAAAGTGCTGTCACCCACTTGCCAAGGCCACTCTGAGTCCATCTCCAGGTGTAGGCCACCACCGTAGGGGTGAGAATCCTCCTGGGCTGGGGACATAGCTCGGAGGTAGAGCACATGCTCAGCACATGCAAAGCCCTGAGTTCAATCCCCCACACCACACACAAAAAATTTCTTTTTATAAAAAACTAGTCAATTCCAGGGCCGGAGGTTTAGCTCAGCCGTATGAGTGTCTGCTTGGCAAACTTGAGGTCCTGAGTTTAATCACCGGTACCGAAAAAACAAAAAACAAAACCAAAAAAACCTAGCCAACTCCTGTCTGCCCACATCCTGGCCTTGCAAGATCCCTCTGCGTGGTCATCATTTAATGTTCCCAAATGTCCCTCTGCTCTCCCTCTGCCACTGCTACATCCTCGCATACTTCTTCAGCAAGCCCTGACACACCCCTGACAGCCTGGGTGTCTTAGCTGTGACCATGACTGCCCCTCCCTTCCTAAAAGCTTTCTACTCCACACTCAGTCTTGTAATAGCCCTGTTCCTCGTGGGCAGCACCTCTTGGCACTTAGCAGAGGAACAAGTTCTAATTTCTAACACCCCGGGAACCATTCAGACTCATCTGTAACAGGTTTGTGGCCTTTCCTACCCCTTCGTGGCCCACAGTGCACATCAGTGGCGGCTTTGCCTTCCCAGCATCAAGCTCGCCTTCTTCAGACGCAGCACCCATCCTTCCCTGAAGGGGACTCCACGTCTAGCAGTGTCCCAGCCTCCTGGCCACCGAGGGTGGTTCAGGGCTGGGTGCCGCACCCTGCTCCCCCAGCAAGGCTGAGTTCTGTGACTGCACAAACGAATGAGAAGTGTTTCCCCAGCCAGGTAAAGTCTAAGTCGGGAGGTTTGGAAGCAGCTCCTGAGAAGGAAGCCAACACAGAGGAGAACCTGATCTCCAGGGAGGCCAGAGCAGAGGTTCCTCACGCCGTCAGGGAGCCCTGGGCCTGGCTGCACCTGCAGGAGACCTCTGGACTTCCGTAACAGCTGGATTCAGCTCACCGGTGTCTCAGAGCGCACTCCATTCATCAAACTGTCACTGAGCCCCATCAGAGGGCCAGCACTGGGTATGAGGCCAAGCTGACTGCCGCCGGTGGAGGGCTCCAGCCCAGCAAAGCAGCCCAGCCCACTGTGCCCGCCACCTCCTCATCTTTCCTCCCGCTGGGCCCCTTCTCGGTGCCCCTTTCCTTCCTCTTCTGGGTGAAGTCTGAGCCTCTCTCAGGCCCAGTGCTCACCCACCTCCTCTAAGAAGCCCTCCCCATCCCCTCAAGCCTTGGAACCTGCTGGGTTCACCTTGCCCGAGGACTTGACACCCTTGAGGATACAAAGGAACACGATGACCCAGGCCAGCAGCAGGCAGAGACAGAGGTTCCAGCGGATTTCCCCAGGGCTGCCGATGCCTTGGCTGCCTTGAATGTGGAGTACATAGCGGCTGTGAGAGACAAAGGTCCTGTGGTCACCATCCCGGGGCATGGAGTACAGCTGTGTCCAGGATCGAGACCTTTCGGCTTTTCTCTAAGTGGCAGCTTCCCTGATCTCTCCTTCCTGCTCTGACCAGCTGTGTTCCCAGGACACTCAAGCACTCCCACACGTTAGCTTTCTTCCTCTCCTGCTTCCACTGCCTGAGGGAGGCAGCAGCAGGATGCATGAAAGGGACATGGATAAGTGTTCTGGGTTCGTGTGTATACACACGAGTGCACCCCCCTCACTACCTCCCTGGGAGGCTGGCTGCAGCTGATTCTCTGGGCCGACCATCTCCTAAGCTCCAGTCTCTCTGGTTCCCTCTCTAGCCTCTCTAGTTCAGCATGGGTAATGGCTCCCCCTATTGCTAGACCCCGGCACCTCACCTTTCCTGTGGCTCTCCTGACCTCCTGAAAGCCTCTTCACCCCCGCTGACAGTGCCACCTGCCTCCTGCTTGCATCCCAACTGATGCAGTGGCTCGTGGCTTTGCCATGGAGACTCCTGGAAGCTGTCAGTGACTACGTCAAGTTTTGGCTTTGGGCTGCAGATCTGGGCCATCCTTTCCCATGGTCAAACCCACCCTTCCACAGGCACAGACAACGTGGGTGATCAGGACAGGGATGGATGAATGAACTGTGCAGCCTCTGCACAGTAGAGACCGGGTAGACTGGGAGAAACAGTTCCACACATGGATTCGCCTGGGGAAATTCCTAACAGTAGCACCTGTTAGGGGTGAGGGATCCGGAATGGGCTCTGACCCAGAGACCAGGCCTCTCTAGAATACCCCAGAACGGGACTGGAATCAGGAGTCTTGCACAGCAATACTGCCTCTACTATTCATGGTCAAGCAAGCCTTGGAGTCTTGTTTTCTTAGCTGTGGAAGGGGCAGGTCAGTGAGCAGTGACACCTTCCCCGCAGCCACCACACCCAGCGGCCCTGCTAACAGTTTTACCAGAGTTCCTTTAAGCTTCGCCACAATGCAACTCCATTAGACTCCTTTCTCCTACTGTACTGACCTAGACAGTCCTTACTGTGTGTGGCCCTGGCCCCATGCTACATATTTACCTGTGGAATAGTAGGTGCTCATGCATATTCATTAAAAGAACGAATAAGCAAATGACCGAGTGGGCACATCACCTCCACTGCTGCAGAGGAGGAAACAGAACTCCCAAGGTCACTGCCACTGTTACCATCACCTGCGTGCTAGGGTTATCTGGCATTTACTATCCTCCAGACTGATCTGCAGGATTTGCTATGCATCCTTTCCTTTCATCTTCATGACCACCTGCTGAAATAGCTACTATTATTGTCCTCATTCTAAAGAGAAAGGAGCAGAACCCAAATGAATTAATTGTTCAAGGTCACAGAGCTGCCCCAGCGAAGAGTCCACCTAGTGCCACCCCTGAACGCTGCTCTGGAGGCTCCCTCCCCTCCAGCCTCAGTGGCACAGGCGCCTGACCTCCAATACTCCTCGCTGGGGCTCACGGTGCTGGAGAGGTTGAGGGGCAGTGCCCCGTTGCCGTGCTTGGTGCCTCTGTGCTCAAGGCAGCGCTCGGTGTTCCACCAGTTGCCGCAGTGCTCCCAGGGCAGGGTGCTGGTGAGGGAGGCGAAGAGGTAGAAGAGGACGTAGGCGATGATCATGTTGTAGTAGATGGCCACCAGGCCTACGATGAGCAGCATGGCTGCGCCGGCACCTGGTGTGGGGAGAGGCGCTGCTGGGCGGCCCCGAGCCCTCCCAGCCCTCCGAGCCCTCTGAGCCTTCCGTGGGCCCAGCAGAGTGGTCTCAGGAAGCTATTGCCTCCCGCCTGCTCCATTCCTGCTCCGCGTGGGGATTAGCAGGGGTGGGCACCTCCCTGCCTCCCTCAGACCCACCCCAGCCTAGGGACCACCAAGGCCTCACCTTTAAAGAGGGGGCTGATTTTCCAGACGGCCAGGGGGCCCAGGCTGGAGAACTGGCCCAGAGAGAGCTCCAGGAAGAAGAGGGGAATGCCGCAGATGGCCAGCATGAGGAAGTAGGGCACAAGGAAGGCGCCTGCGAGGAACAGGGAGGGCTGCAGGGGGCTCAGAGGTCAGCCCTCTGTTCCCCACGGCTGGCTCCATCCCGCCCAGCCCTGTGGCAGAGACTCCGGGGACCATGAACCTGTGGGGTTGTCTTCTGTCTTTCTTACCCCGGGGCCAAGGAGGCCGGTGGGGCTTTACCCACCTTTGTAGCCCAATGCCCAAAATAAGGCTGAGCCAGAGCAGCCCCTGGAAAACGGCCTGCTGAGTGAGTGAATCAATGAATAAATGAGAGAATGCTTCATTAAAGCAAGTGCAGATTCCTTGGGGCAAGAGTTGGTGTCCTTTAGAACCTGGGTCCAGCCTGCTCTCCTCTCCTGGCCGTGCGGCCTCAGATACTCAAGACTGCTGTCTGCGGTTTCCGGGGCCCAATATCCCTCACCCTTTTCTTCTATATTGCTGGCACCCAGCTACTTTAGAGAGCTGTCCACCGCCACATGTCACTCCTGTCCTCTCTTTGGTTTCTCTCAAGGTGCATATCCCAAGGCAGCCATTCAGAAACCTTCCTGCAATGCTGTCTAGACTCCCTCAGAGGGGAAGCTCAGGGCCGCTAAACCTGCTGAGGACCTGCACCACTCCAGAGGTGTCACAGTCACCTTCCCTGCCCCCAGCTGCACCAAGGAACAGAACCTGCCTCAGGAAATTATGTCAGTGGACAAAGCAGTCTGAGGAAGCATGGAGAGGGTAAGGAGCAAGACACCTGCGGGCACTGTGCGTCCCTGAGCCTCAGTGACTGGCCCCAGCCCCATATTCCTGGTCCTATGAACACATCTTTGCTTTGTTTCATCTGCTTGCTTTGGATTTCTCTCACCTGACCCGTAAATAAAGGAGTACCTTTAGCAAGTCTGGTGGAGATAGCTGGAAATGGAATCCCGGCAAGACCACCTTGGACATGGAGAAGACTGTTCCAGTTGGATTTTTTGTAATGTTGGAGATTGAGCCCCAGACCTCATACAAGCTAGGCCAGCACTCTCCCACTGAGCTACTTTTATTTTTACTTTTTTCTAACACAGATATCACTAACTCTCCCAGACTGGCAACTTGCAATCCTCCTGCCCAGCCCTTTAGTCCTGACATTACAGGACACCACCACGGTGCCTGGCTCTGTGGAAGCAGGGGGGCTGTGTGGTCTTGGACAAAGAGCCTGGCTCACTACAAGTCCCCCTACCTCATCATGTCATGGCGCTCACCCAGGAGGGCTGTGAGGATTAGGAAGGTGAACACTAAGCCCAGGGCCTGGCAGGTAGTGAGTGCTCAACCCTAGCTGCTGCTGATGAAATTCACAATGTAACCTGACAGAAAGTCAGAGACAAAGGGATTTTTTTTTTTTTTTTGCAAGATAGGAGAGATTTTCTGTTTGCATTCTGAATGGAAGAAACCAGAAGAGGAGGAAATATTGCAGATTCAAGAGAAGAGGCGATTGATGGAGCAGGACTCGGGAGGAGGGGGAGGCAGTGAGGGGAATATTAAAAGCATGTTGATTCCTGATAGAAAGATAAAGCCTTTATCACAAAGCACGGGGTCCTGGGAGTGTGAGTCTTAGAGAGAAAAGCACGTGGGTGTCCGTCCTGGCGGGGAGAAGGAAGGAAGAAGGTCCTGGATGATGAGAGGGAACAAGACAGGCTAAGCTCCCTCCTCCCAGTCCAAGGTCACACCAGAGACAGAAAAACTCAGTCTATCCCAGAGCTTTGGTCCATCACCACAGTCCCCACTGGACTGAGGCCCATACCTCCTCCGTTGGTGTAGGCTCGATAAGGGAAGCGCCAGACATTTCCCAGGCCCACACAGTAGCCAATACAGGACAGCAGGAAGTCCAGTTTGCCCGTCCAGTTGCCCCGGTCTGCAGCAAAGTCCACGTCCAGGTCCACATCACCCTGGTCACTAGGAGTCATCAGTAGGTCTGGGGTGACGGGCTATCAGAGAGAGACCAAAATGGGGAGGAAGAAGGGTGAGATCAGGCTGGAGCTGTGATCCCCCCAAGGCAGGAATGCAGAACTGGATGGGGCTGAATGGAAAGACATTCTCTTGGTTCAGGTAATCAGGTGCTATCATCTGCATTCATATGGTCACGTCCGGAAGTCCTTAGACACCAACAGGTGGCCCAGGCGCTGAGAAAGCTACCTGATCTCATTGTGTCTAGGAGAGGCCAGGTCAGGGGATGGTCCTATGCTGCTGCTGCTGCTGTGCCACTGCTGCTGCTGATAATTATCTTACTAACAATCGCTACACACCAAGCACTTGCACTGAACAGTTTACTCACATCACCCGAGACCACCCTCAGACCATCCAAGTTAAGTACTCATCTAAGCTCCATTCTAAGCATGAGAAAAACTGAGGCTCAGAGAGGGGTCATGACCAGCCAAGATTTGGACCTGGCTGGTGAGTGAGAGAACTGGGTCTCGAGTCCAGACTTTCCTGACACTAACGGCCATGACTTGCCCCACTGTGCAGGCTAAGTTTCATTTCTGTCCTAGAAATCTGATTTTAAGAAAGATACAAAGACAGTGCAAAGCACATCCAAAGGGCAGATGGCCAGATGGGAAGGTGTTCAGGAAAAGTGCTTGCAAGGGGATACAGCGAAGAGCAAGAAGCCCATAGCACAGGAAGCAGACAATTCGGTAGACGTTGGACTCCTTGGGGAAGGAATTAGAACTATGCTGTGCAGCTCGAGGGGCCTACTGAAGACTGTGGATTTTGGCTCCTGAGCAAACACAAGCTATTCAGCCCTAATCTGTCTCAGAAAGTTAGAATCTTGCTGTCACTGGTGGAGGGATAAGTGCAGAGGGCAATGTCTCTAATATCCTGCCATGACTCAGAGAGGTCCAATAGGCATTTTTTCTTCTGGCTAGGCTTGGGGGATGGAGGCCCTGCCCTAGCCACTCGGAATCCTGGCCCAGGAAATGCAAGGCAGCCTGACCACAATTGCCTAAGCCTAATGCCTAAAAGGAAGCCCTTAGGAACAAGGATGACCATCTGAAGTGCAGAGCAGCTCCCAGCCATTGACCCAGGAGGGAGTCAGGAGAAAAGGGAGCCACACCTTGCCTGCTTGTGCTAGAATACATACCCGTGAGCAGAGAAAAATGGAAACATAAAACTGATTAGTAAATAACTGTTCGGGGTCTTCAGAGAGGAGAAAAGGACCCCTGCTTCCTTTTGAGAAATGCTTGAGTTAAAGATGTTTGAGAAAAGCTGGGTTAACACAGAATGAAATACATTCTTTTACTACAGGACTTTTCATATCTTTTAATGGACACAACTCCAAATAGGGGCTAGGATGCGGTATTCCCAACTCTGCTTAAGAAGAGGATCCTGAGGAGTCAGCATGATGGGATGAACTGTACCGGGGCAGATGAGGGTCAGTGAGCCGTCTGGCTCTGATGGTCCCCCAGGCAAGCTCACCACAATTTTGCTTCGGACAGTTTCAATGCTTAAGGGTCAGATCAGAGTCTCACCTGGGGACGCAGTCCTAGCTGTGGGCCAGATGACTTCCTTCCCATAACACTGTCCAAATAAATCAGGTAGTGACAGAAGAGGCTTCATAAGGCGCTGGTTACACAACCACTGCTGGGACCAAAATGGTTAAGGGAGGGCCAGGGTGTCACTCACTGGTGAGTGCCTGCCTAGCGTGTGCGAGGCTGTGGGGGGAGTGGCAGGAGGGTAGGGCTGCTGTGAGTGTCACAGGACTGCAGGCATCTGGCTGTGGGGACTGGGCGGGCAGTAGATCAGAAGAGCACTAGGTTGGTTCTCAGTGAGAGTGGTGACCACAGTGGTGATCCTGCCTGAGGCTGAGCAAGCGTGACAAGAAAAGCCTGGCAAGATTATAGGTGATGGAAACAATGACAGAGAATGAAAAAGCTGCCTTCAAAGTCACTAGGCTCCAAGGGTAGGAATGCAGGAGTGCTACCCTAACAGGAGTAGCAGTGATTTTGGACACACTGAGGTGAGGGTGGCAGCCCTCCCGGACTCACCTGAACCCTCCCTCCCTCTACGGATGCCTCTCCAGCTGAGTAGCATCAGTCTTCTAGAACCTCTCCTCCCAGGTTGCAGCAACAGCCAGTTGACACTGGCCCTTGGGCATTGGGTAGTAAGTCATGTCTGTCACCTGGGACCTTCCTGTCCCATTCAGGCCATCTGGCAGCAGGTCCTGGCAATGAGGCTCCTCTGATCTCTCCAGAGAAGCTGCCCTTTCCATGCTTACAGAGCGGTCCCAGCTCTGTTTCCATGGTGACAAGAGTTCCAAGAGCAGGATGTTGCCAGCTCCTCCTCTTCCTCCCCCAATCAGAGGAAAGCTTGCTCCTTTTCCAGGACCAGGGATGGGGTCTTCCAAAGCTGAGCCAATCAGACGCCCACCTGGAACCCCTAATGTCACCATGGGGTGAATCCTAGGAGGCTGGTACAGCAAGATGGGATGGGATGGGTCAAGAGACAGAGGACAGCAACCAGATAAATGGGGCAGTGTCAGAAGCTGTGGAGCCACTTCACACTTCCACCTGGGTGGGCGCTCTGACTCCTGAGCACCTCAGTGCCCATTCTAGAATTGTGAAGGAGCACACACTTGAGTTTGCAAGACATGTAGCCTCTCCTTTAGGAACCAGCAGATGCAAGTCTCCACCATAAGGTCTACAGAGGCAGGACTTCCCAAGCCATGCTCTGGTACCTTCTTCAGGAAAAAGAGACAATAGAATCTAGACTCCAACTTCATTATTGTATAGATGAAGAAACAAGTTTCAGGGAGCAGAAGGAATGAGCCCAAGGTCAATCAGCAAATTAGAGAAGAGTAAAACTAGGCTTGAGACCCCTGACTCCTAGTCCAGTGTGCATCTCTGAGCCACACTGTTTTCTTGCTGACCCTCGGCATTTTCTCCCCTTTTCTCTTCCAGGCTAAAGAGAATGTGGCCCCAGCAGTTCTAGGTTGGTCATCTCACCTCTGGATAAGCAGAGAGCCTCCATGTCTGTTGCCTCATGGATGAAATGGGGACAATAACAGTCAGTCTACAGAATTTTTGGAGGATTGAATGAAATAAGACTGCCCAAGTTGCCAGCTACTCACAGCACATGGCCATTTATGTATTTTGCAGCCCTACGGCAAAGAGGGCCAAGGGTTCTTATCAAGTGGGGAGAATGAAGAGTAAACAAAATAGGGACAGGATCTAGAGCACCCAAGAGACTACAAATGGCCCCACAAAATCGAGTCAGCTGATAGAAAAGACCTGTTTCTTGCGGAGAGGCTCTCTGCCTGGCTGTCCAAGGACAGAGCTTGAATGAATGTGTGCTTGGGTGTAGGGGAGGGGGCGTGGGAGAGATGACAGCAGCTCCTCTGCCCCTCCCGGGTCACAGCACCCTGTACTCACACCCAGTGGGTGGCAATGGGGATGGTTAAGAATGGCAAGTGGCAGCTGTAAGATGGTACGGGTACCACTGTACCATCGGCTCTGACTCCTTGGCCAGGGCTGGCACTATTAAACCAAAAGCCGGGAAACTTCCTCCAATCCCTCCCCCACCCCAGCCCCCACCTCACCCCTGGGTCCTTACAGCAGAAGGAATGAGCCCATTTTCTGCCTGCCTTTGCTTCCTTCAGCTCAGCCTGGAAAGGGGCAGCCTGGGGTCTCGGCAAGGCTGGGGAGCTGCCAGAGGAAGCGGGAGGGAGCGAGCGATGGGCTTGCAGGGCCAGAGTGGGCAGGCTCGAAGTGAGTCCGATGGAGGTTGCCAGAGGCTGCTTCGGAACAGAGTGGCCAGAGGGGCGCCAGGATGATACCCCACCCCAAATTAGTCCAGCCGGGGGCTGGCCCTCAGTCAGCAGTCAGCTCCTGGGGGAGCAGGCGGGGGATGGGTAGGGAGGAGGACTCCGCGCCTCCTAGGGCTACAGACACCTGTTCGCAGGGCCAGGCCTCCTCATCCCAACCCGGGGAGGCTGGGTAGGGGGAACCCCGACCCGTCCCTCCCCTACCCGCGCCGCCCTCTGTCGCCTCCGGAGCCTGAGCTCCCGCGCCCTGCGCCGCCCCTCCTCGGCCCCTCCCGCCTGCCTTCAGGTTCACCCGGCCGTTGCTCTACCTTGCGGAGGTGAGCTCCCTGGAGCTTCTTCATCTCGAGGACCGGTGCTGGCACCTGCCGACTGGGCTTCTCTGAACCGCAGACAGAGCGCGGTGGCGAGGGATCTGCACGCGCCGCCCGCCGCTGCGCCCTGGCCCCGGCGGCTCCCGCGCACCGGCTGGGGCTGCGGGGAGCAGGCGCTGCCGTCTGGCGGCTGCGGGCGTGGGGCGCGGACTGGGCACTGCGAATGCCCTGCCTCTGCCTGCTCCGCGCCAGAGGCTGGGGAGACACCCAGACAGATCAGGACTGACCGACGGCGCCAGGGGGATACGCGCGCCCCCGCACGCAGGGCTGCGGATTGGAGGGACCCAGTTGGGAAGAGGGGCTCGCAGTGGAAACTCTCGGCTTCAGCTACCTTCACCTGCGTGACCTTGGGCAGGTGACCTGCTCTCTCTGGGTCTCCTTAGCTGGGTGAGAAGAGAGGCGCACTGCCGGCACCAGCCCTGACAGCCTGTTCTTGGGCTCCAGCAACCATCAGCCTTGTCTCGCGACTTCTTTGCTGGGTGACCTTACTTAGAGGTTCCCACTTCTTCATCTGGAAAATGGGGGTAAGAATCCTTTATGAGGTAGGAGGAATCCAGGGAGGTGGAGCAGATAGCACAGGCCGGCACCCAACAGGTCCTCAGTTAACAGCTATTGACCTGTGGGTTGCCCACAACACCATGGACAAGATATTTGTGTGCTGTCTATTCAATCATTGTTAATGGAGCACCTCAAATGTGCCGGGTTCTGTGTGAGGTGTCTTATTTGTCCAAATGGGAGAAGCAGGTTATTATTCCCATTTGATGGATGAGGAAACTGCAACACAGAGAGGTTATTTATTCAAGGTCACAGAGCTAGCACACGATTCCAGGGGCAGAATTATGCTTCAGGGACCTTCCAGGCTAGTAGCAGTGTGCAACACTTCTTTCCTTGGGATGAAAACGCAATGGAGAGGTTTGGGGGGAGGGGAAGGGACAAGCAAGTACCACTGTGTTGTGATGGCTTGGGGCTTAGATTGTAAGCATCAGCTTCAACACACTGGCAGTGTGACCTCAGGATTTTGCATCTGTCAAATGGGCCACCAGCCAGTCTCTGCATGGCAGACCTCTCAGAATGTTCTGACGATCCAGTAAGCCTGGGATGGCAAGTGTTAGCCATGGCAATCATATGCCTCAGTTTGCTAGGAGTGAATCTGCGCGTGCTGGTGCACTGGCACATGCACTGCTCACTTTCGCAGTGGCCCATTCAGGCGTGAATCATAGGTACTGTTGCATCAGACGAGGCCTCTGCAGGGAGACCAGCCTAAGGTCTGTGCTGTTACCTCTGGGGGGTGAAAGGAGGTGGGCAGGGCTGAGGCCCCAGCCTGGCTCTGCTGAGGAACTGATCCTGCTCCCCCTCCTTGTAATTAATTAATTAATTTGGTGCTGGGAATCGAATGCATGACGTAGCACTTGCCAGGCAGGTGCTTATGCCACTGAGCTAAATGCCGAGCCCTCCTCCTCCATTTAAGCTTATCCCGGGATGCTGGCTTGGGCGCCCCAGCCCAGGAGGAAGGAGGCTTCTACCTGCTGCTTCTTGCCTGTGTGGGGCCTAGGCTGGCCATGGATGTGAAGGAGAGATGCATTTATTGAGCACTACTGTGCACTAAGATACAATTTTTGCATCCAATATTTGATGTTTGGCTCTTTCCAAAAGCCTGAAAAGACAGATTTATGCCTGAGGAAATAATCACAGAGTGAAGTCATGTGTCAAGCAACTCAGAGCACTGAGACTCTAGACCTTAGAGATAAAGCAGAAGGGCCAGGGCTGTGCCTGGGAACAGGCAGCATGGGCTACTGAAGTCCAGGGAGCTCAGCAGACCGCCTGGCCCTCCTCAGGGCTGCCCTTCCCTCTCACAGGAGAGGCAGCAGTATCTCTGAAGTACTTCCTCCCTCCTCTGGCCCTGGGTTCCATCACATCCCGGTGACCACCGGATAGGAGCCTGAGGTCCCTTTCTGCCCACTTCCTGGTTGCTCCTGGGGAAGGAGAGGGAACAGGGCCATGATGCCAGCCTTCCCTGAGCGAACACTTCAGGGGGTCACCACTGAGCGCTGATGACAGTCACAGAGGCTGCCGTGTATGGACGTCCAGGTCCACACATTCAGATGGAGAAACTGAAACCAGAGGGGGGGCGGGACTTGTGAACGTACTCAGCAACATAGAGGCAGAGTCATCCAGCCTGGGAGTGTGACTCCACCTGGGTCTGCCCCCAGAACACACCTCTCTGCCACCCTCTTCCCCTCACTTAGCCTTAGCTTGGACAATAAAATAAAACAGAGCCTGCACACGGAGGCCCAGTTTTATGATCACTCAAGTGGCCAGGAGTTTGGCAACCTTACATATTTGACTATCGCTGCCACTGACATTCAGAATTTCTTTCCTCTTTCTCCCTCTCTCCACATCTCATGTCAGACTAAAAGTGAAATGGAGATGTGTGCTGATATAAGGAAAGTGTTAGATGAAAATGTACTTCCTTTTATTATATAGGGAGATATTTTTAAATGCATATAAATAAACATTTTTAATTTGCCTAAACGTTCAGATTTTATCACTGCGGAGCATGTGTTATGCTACACCAGGGAGTGGTGACTGTGAAGAAAGAGGTTCCAGACTGCTTTCCATCTGGTGTGGTGGGAGAATGTGGTTCCGAAGGGGCCCCACCGGGATGGGATTGCCCCCAACGCTGCCCTGGGCGACGCCTGCCAGGCTCCCCTGTTCTACATCTCAGCCACCCAGAGCCAGCTGGTTTTCCCAGAGCTCTATCGGCTTCCTGTCCCTTCTTCCTGCCATTACAGCTTATCGCACATCACACACAGTCTCCACGCTGCTGCTGGAGACCTCTTCTCCCAGAACGCTCCACTACCAACCCTGAACCCCACTCCCCGCCCCCACCCCGAGAGTTGAGCTGTGGCCTGTTCTGAGCAGCTCACACCAATCTCTTGTCACTTAATGAGTCTCCTCCACAAGACTAAGGTTTTCAATGTAGCATCAAGGGATCTTAGGTCCTCAAGGTTGCATGGTAAAACCTAGTATCGAGTTGCATGTCCTGATTTGTTAAAGGTTGTGACCAAGATGGGGCCCACAGAGGGCGAGGTCAGGCAGATCCATCTCTGGATACTGTGTCTTCAGCCCCAGTGGGCCTGCTGCTGACAGAAAGCGAACATAGCTAAGCAGACCAGCTACTCCTTCCCGGAGAGCTGGGAGGTTCCTGAGGCTTGGAGTGGCTGCATGAGCTTATGAGACCTGAGGCTATTTCTTTCCCAAACCCTTACAATAGCCCCCTAAAACGAAAAAGACAAAAAAAAAAAAAAAAAAAAAAAAGAAAACAATAGCCCCACCTCTGGTGGGACTCTTTAGGTGACAAGAAACAAACAGGGTCCCAGGCAACCCATGGCACTGCTCAGAAGTTTTCTTTTTCATGGAGCTCCAACACCAACTGACAAGTGACCACCAGCTCAGCCATGGATGCATTCAACCTCTTGACTTCCCATGTGGGCCACTGCTACAGCTCACACAGGCTGCCAGGCTTGGCTACTGGCCTCCTGCTGAGCAGAGGTGTTGTGAGGCCAGGGACAGGATTGTCCCACTTCAGATCTTCACAGCCACCAGCTGTCAGCACTGGAGGCCGTAGTGGTAAGCACATTGGTCAGGCCTGCCATCTCACGTTAGGACACAGCAGTCCCATGAACAAGTGGCTGGAATGTGACTACTTACTCACATGCTTGGCCCTGCACTACACACAACCCTAAGGCCGGTTCTTTATTTCCATTTGACAGATGAGGAGGCTGAGGCTCAGAGAAGGTAACTTGCCTTAATCTCCTGACTTGGAAGCACCACAGTGGGACTGAGGCCATCGAACCACAAGCCTGCTGTTCTGTATAAGTCACAGAGAAAGTGCGGCTCAGTCCAGCGCATCCCACACCCAAGTGTGTGGAGTTCAGGGTGATACTGATGGGCCCAGTGGGGCATCCTGGGCAGGGAGGATGAGGGGGGACACTGAATTAAAGAAAGCTCAAGGGGGTCCTGTGCAGTGGGGCTGTCAGAGCCTTTGAGCTGTCACTGTGCTGCTGTTTCTCCCCCAGCAGAATGAAATGTGCAGGGTTTCCCAAATTCACTTGATCAGGGCTTTCTTCTTGGATGAGCCCGCCAATTTTATAAAGGGAGAAATGGAAGCCCCGAAGGAGGCAACAGTTTACCCCAGGGCTGCAGCAAATCTTTTCAAAGGTCAGAGCATCGTATTCACTCTCTGCCCTCGCCCTGGTCCTTTCCTCTGGTGCCATCTGGCTCCCCTGCCCAGCATATGTCCTGTTTCTGGTGAGGCCAGGGGCTCTTGCAGGCCACTGGGAGAAGGGGAGAGGAGCCCCTGGTCTACACGGGCTGTGCCAGCACTAGATCCACTTTCTGCATTGTTATCATGGGCCCCAGGAGCAAAGGGCGACAGCAGCCAGGCTGCACACACTTTTTACGGCAGGGCCACCTCCCAGAACAGTAAACACAGGGACAGGTAGTTGGCACTGGTGCTCTCTGGGGTGAAGAGGCCCCAGGCGGCAGACTCCGACCTGCTCTGGAAGGCAGGCAAGAACAGTGGCTTTGCCTGGGTGTTAAAAAGATCAAGCTCCCAGTTCATATTCCTTCCCGCCATCCTTCCCTTCTTGGCTTGGTTAGCACCTACTCATCCTTGGGGTCTCAGCTCAGACACTACCTCCTCCAGGAAGCTTTCTGGGCCTTCCAAGATCAGCGAGATGCCTTCTCTGTGCTCACTGGACCTGCTGGTTCCCACGATCTACAGAGGAGAGCTCTGATGAGTAGCAATACCATCAGCTTGGACATCAAAACCATCTGTGCACACGACAGTCCTGACTGACTAGGAATTTCTAAGTGGCAAGGCCTGTGTGCCTGGCACTTGAGGTGCCCAGTGAATACCATCATTTTTAAAAAAACAAACCTGAGCTGAAAGTATCCAAGAAATTCAATAGGCTGATGCACTGTCTGATGATCCCGCTCACAAATAGCCTTACAGACTCACTCTAACAATGTCTCTTTTTGATCTTTTAAATGTATTTTAAAGGTGACCTTGTTGTAGGCCTGCAGAACAGGAAGGGAATACATAATTGTCAGGGATGGGAGAGGCTGATTTTTACTTCTTAAACATTTTTCTTTAATGCTATGTATAATGATTTTTATACATTTTTTAAAAAGAGAAAACAATTTATTCTTGAAGCTGCATCCAAGAGATTCACTCTGTATTAAACGCCTGTCCAGCTGTGAGCTCTGCTGGGTACAGAGACAGTCTCTGGGGCTCCCTGGGACCTAGGCACTGATGGGCAGCCTGATGGGTGATAGGACCCTCAGGGTGCACTCTGCCCCTTCCCCTGTACCCCATCCCTCCATACAAGAGCCTCCCCGCCAAGGCTCGCAAGTGGACAGGGCCCTGCAAGTCAGAGAACACTCATCAGGGCCTCTCCTTAGACCCTGGCTTTATATCAGCACCCAGGCTGGGGAGGGCAGGTGAGCCATGATGGGCAGGCGGAGGTGGGGCCGCAGGAGAGGCAGGTGGGAGTTGTCACAGCTACAAGCACCCCATCTTCACTCAGAGTATTCCCTCTCTCCGGGATGCAGAACTCTCTACAGCACCTCCCACCTCACTCACAGAGCCTCTGGGGCCTGGGGCCTTGTCCTGGGCCTTTGCACAATCCTCTGGGACTTGCGATTTCCTGAGACTGAGACTCCTACCCTAGGCTCCCTTATCCCCAGCGAGGCCTCAAACGTATGAGCCTGAGATGTCCTTAGCCAAGAAGTTCTTCATACAGAGGGGTGAGGAGATGCAGGGAGTGGGTGGGCGGCTCACTCTTGTCCATGTGACCGAGGTAGGGCTGGGGCTGAGCCCAGCCTCATGTCATGAACCCCATCAGAAGCCCTGTCCGTGGCACCTGAATGCCCAGGTCCTCCGAGCCACATGACTGGGAGGCTAGGGCAGAAACTCCTCCTTGACAGACATGGGGGAGGAAGCGCCCAGGAGGCCAGCACTGCTGGGGTCCAGGGCCCCCAGGGGTGGCCCTGCTGAGGTGGGGGTGCCATCCAGCGTGTCCAGGGCTGGTGGTAGCTGTGTGGGTGGCTGCTGCTGTTGTTGCTTCTTCTTGTTCACTTTGCGCTCCTTTGCACGACGGTTTTGGAACCAGATCTTTACCTGTGGGGTCACCAAGCAGAGATGCAGAGGGGTGGGGACAAGCCAGGGGGAGGGGGAACCTCTGTGCTCCAGGCAGCATTTGTGATCACCCAGACCTCATGGGCCCTGAACACATCCTCCCCAGCTAGAAGCTGCGCCCTCACCCTCGCCTCCCTTCTAAGAGGAGCCCTCCCCCAACTTTCTGTGCCCCATTCTCCTCTAGGTCTCAGCTGTACTGACCATGGCCTGCTGTAGCCTACTGCTAGCTGGATACTGGAATGTAAGATTTCACTGGGGGACTGGCAGCAGCTCAGGGTCTGCTATGCAAGGACCATGGCCTGGAGACTCAACCCCGTAATCTGCGCGGTAGCCTGGAAGCCAGACTCCCCTGGCTCTGCTCCTGGGGAGAGGTGGGCGGCACACACCTGTCGTTCAGTGAGCCCCAGGTTGGCGGCCAACTCCGATTTCCGCCGGATGGTGATGTACCGGCTGTAATGGAACTCCTTCTCCAGCTCCAGGCGCTGGTGGTCTGTGTAGACCACACGGTATTTGTCTTTGGTCCGAGTCTTACCTGAGGAGCAGAAGGGCCAGGAGGGAAGGTCAGGTGGCAGAATTGGCAGCGATGGGGGAGGCAAAGAAAGGACCAGGAGGGGTCCCAGAAAGGAGGCTGCTGAAAGAGCTGGGCTTCACCCAGGTCTCCTGACACTAAGTTCTGCTCACCAGCTGCTCCAGTTTAAAACCAGAAAGACGGGGGAACACTTGACAAGCAAGGGCGCATGGAGACTAAGGAGGTGGCAGTGCAGAGGGGCAGGGGAGGCATCAGTGCTGGGCGCAGAGGAGCAAAAATACTCTAGGACTGTCCTGTGCAGGAGGACCCTGGCCCCTGCTGAGTCATCCAAGTCAGCCACGAAGCCCTGGGACTACTTGAGATGCCCTGACCTTGGCTTGAGCTGGGCTGTAACAGGGGCCTGGGTTTGTCTGCCAAGCGTCCACACTCCCTCAGTGTCCAGCGTGGGACAGTGACTTGGACCACATCCCAGGGTGGGCAGTAAGCTCGGCTTCTAGGGCGGGGAAACAGGAAAAAGCAGCTAGAAAATACCGCCTATGTTAATTAGTAAGTATTTCAGAATAAAGAGAGTATTTCACAGGAGGACTAGGAATTTCCAAGAGAAAGGTTTCAGGCAGAGCAGTGCTAACTGGATGTGCCTGTGTGCAAGCTCCTGAGGAGGCTGAGACACAAGGGTCCCCGGAGCACAGGAGTTCAAGACCAGCCCGAGCAACAGAGCGAAACACTGTTTCAAAATGAAATGAGACAAACAAAAAGAAAACTCCCTAAAATAGTCAGCTTTATTAAATAGAGTGGCCCATGAAGGATTTACCGAGAAGGCCAGTCTGAGCAAAGATCTAAGATGGGTGAGGGGAGATGGGGTCCAGCACACAGGACACCAAGGCCCGAGACCCTGTGCTAGGTACCTGTCCTCTATCGGACAGTGAGGGAGTTGGTGGGCGTGGAGTACAGGAATCAAGTGAGCAGGGGATGCTTGAGGGGTGTTTTACTGTCTGGGGTGGAGCCATGGCAGGGCGGGGGCAGAGGTGACGCGAGGTCACAGGAGGGTTTTCACCTCCTCAGGCTAGTACAGAGAGGCAGAGGGGAAGCAGGGACACTTCCTGTCACCCAGCAGACAAAGCAGACAGGGTTCAGCCTGGGGCCAGGATCGGGACCTGCGGATCCTTTGGGGTTAACAATAGGCTTTTGGGGCCGGACTGGGGTTGTCTGGGGAAAACATAGGAGTCATGCTTAGCTGGCTGGAGCGTGGTGGCTGAGCATGAGTCTCCTCTACAAAGAGCTGAGCACGCGGGTATAAATAGGAGGCGCGTGCCAGCACATGCGTCCACCAAGACACGGTGGGTCTCAGAAGAATGGCCAACCCACTCCCCACCCATCGTGAGACCCCACAACACCCAGCCTTGACTTGCCTGAGTTGCGTACAGGCCACCCTGCCTGGCCCTCCGTGCGCCTCACTGACCACCCCCGCCCTGTTCTATCCCCCTCCACCAAGCCCACGCAGCTTGGCAGGACAGCCACTGTGCTCCTCCTAGCCAAACGGCGCTGCGGAGAATGGGAGACGACAGATGTTCCTGGGCAGATTTTCCCTGGATTTGCTGCCAGAGCCGCAGAACCACACTGGACAATTCCTTGTCCACTGGCCTCAAGGCCCTGCCTGACAGCGGGACAGCCTTGGCCTTTGGCTAGGCCTGGCCCCAGGAAAGGACCACGGGGAGTGGCTGCTGAGGTCCTGGCTCCAGACAGGCCCCTCCTTGGCCTAGAAAATTCCACATTGGCTTAAAAACAGTTCTGCCTAACGCCACTGCCTCCAGAGTCCAGCAGGCCTCTTAGTCCACAGACTGTGGGCTCCCTGGGCTACAGCCAGCATGGGTCCCGGGAGTCTGGTTTCCTTCCATATTTCAGGTGGGTCAGGGATGTTCACACGGCAATGGCCTGAGTCCCTTTAGTTCAGCCTGTGGAGTCTGATGGGCAGACTTGACCAAGGCCGTGTCCCAGGGTAGAGAGTGTCCAGCACCCTCCTGTGCACCTGTGGACCCCTGAGTCCCCTGTGGGTGCCCCTTCTCTCCTTCCTGACAGCATTTCCATCCTAGCATGGAACAGGTTATAGCATGGCAGGGGCCTGTAAAACAGGACTGCCATGGACCCGGACCTGTAAAACACCCAGAGGATACACAGCCACCCCTAGAGGAGTGCAGGGCCAGGAGAGGTTACAGCCATGGTCTTTCCTAGCTCTCCCTCTTGCTTTCTGAGAAGCAGCCAGGATTCATGATAGCCAGGTGGCAGGTGGAGAGTCCAGGCCTGGAAAGTAACTCTTGCTGACGGTTGTCCACCTGGTGGTGGGTATGATGCAAGACTCAGATACCAAAGTTCCCCCAAGCAGAGGGGTGGAATGGGATGAGATAACAGAGCGCTGGCCAGCAAGGCTCCCAACACAGACTGGCCCAGTTGGAAAAGGGATAGGGGGTCAGGACCCATTTGGCCCCCGATCAAGCTGCCCAAAGCCACAAGTTCATTGATAAGAAAACAATTCTGGGGCCGAGAATTTAGCTCAATGGCACAAGAAATTGAATGGCAAGTGCAAGGTCATGAGTTCCATCCCCAGTACCAAAACAAAAAAAGAGAGAGAGAGAAAGAAAATAGAAAATAGTTCTGCTGAAGGACCAAATGTTTGATTTCCCATGGCCCAGACATTAGGGAATCTCACATGCTGTCCAGGTTACTGGAGCATCCTTCTGGGAGCCAAACTGGGGGGACATAGCCTCATTCACAGGCACAGAGCCATGGACCACAAACCCCACTTCCAGGAATGGATCCCACAGGGAATGGCCTACAGCTGCAGTCATTTCTGATCATACAAGACAGAAAAACTCTACAAGCAGAAAACCCGTTAGACAAGATGTGGAACTTGCATGTGGAGAGCCATTCAGCAGGCATTTTACAAGGAAATCACACAATTCTGAATGCACATTATGAAGCAATTTCTGAGACAGGCAAACAAGCAGGACATAGGACATGTGTCGCCATAGGTTTTGTATAAAAATGGAGGAGACGCCGCATGCACACGCGTACATCTTTGTGCCCCCACCTACTTCTTTTGAAAGGCTATACAGGAAGCCAATAACAAGGGCTACTTTCTTTGGTAGTCAATGACCAGAACTGGAGTAGGAGGCCACGGGTAGGAGGGAGACTTGCAGCATTTAAATTTTATGGAGCGCAGATGTGACTTTTATTTTTAGTGATCATCAGGAGCCCTGGCTCCAGTCGAAGCTCTGCCAGAACTCATGACTGCCCTAAGCCACTCTCTCAACTCCCTCCTCCGAGCACCTGTGCCACCTCCAGAGCTCAGGAGTGGAGGCAGGCAGGGCATGAGAGTGGTAGGGCGGGAAAGGCCCGGGATGAATGATTTACAGGCCCTGGGATACAAAAGCTAGGCGGAAGTCCAGGCTTCTGGAACATGTGTCTGACAAGGGGCTGGACACTCCCAGCCCCCTCACGAGTAATGCCTTGGGGCCAGGTGCCAAGTGTGTGTGAGAGAAAGATGGGGAGCTTTGGGCCCCTTGGAGCTGAGCACCTGGAGGAAAGAACATCAGGTCACTAACCCAGTGAGTCGCCCCCTCTTTGCCCTGGCTCTGAGATGCACAGAAGGCCCCACCCTGCGACCAGGTTGTCTCGGGAGGCAGTGCACTAAAACGTACAATAGAGACCTGGGAAGCCATGGGCCAATGGCTTCAAGTACCTGACCAGCAGCCTCAGAGAACCTGGGGAGTATTCTCAAAGCACAGATCTTGGTCCCAAAATTTGGAGTCAGTGGGGCTGAAATGGGCCCCTGGAGGGGGCATATGACTAGCCCACCAGGTGGCCCTGGCATGTGGGTATCTGAGTAAGCAGATCTCTGGGGTTGTGGCCTAGGACTGTCTCCCTCTCTAAGCCTCATTTTATATATCTGTATAATGGGGTAAGTATTCTAAGAGTAGGCAACATGTCACAGGTATGTCTCTCAACAACCCATAGGGCTGTGCAGCTGATATATCCCTATTTTATGGATGAGAAAACTGAGGATCAGAGAGGTCCACACATCAAGGGATTCAAAGCTGGGTCTCTTCAGCCACAGAAGTTGTACTGCAACCTATCACAAGATAGTAGGTCTTCCCTTATTACCTCCAATCTTTGGGTGTCCAGGGGATGGCTCCAGAGGAGAGAACTGTGCCAAGCACAGTACCTGGCATGCAACAGGTGCACAAGAAGGGCAGATACTGCTCATTTCTAACAGTGGCAGGAGGGCCACCTGGCAGGAATGCCAGAAATGTGCCTGTGAAATGGCTGTTGTGTTGGATGAGACTATTTATTTATAAGGTCCCTTCCAACTTGGAAACGTGACACTCCTGATGTTTGTTGATTCACTGATTGTGTTTGTTGTTATGGCTGAAGAATTCTTAGACTGATTTCCCAATCTCAGAGTCTAGACACCAGGCTCATCCAGCTGGAGGACCATGGGCAGGAGCTGTGGTGGCCTGCAGTGGCCATGCAAGGAAAGAATGCAGTCTCTGCTCCAGGATAGGGTCAGCGGTTCCAAGAAAATCAAATGGCTCTGGTCACCACTTCCTTTGCCCTCCTGCTGCTGGGTTTGTGGCCCTGAGACATGACGAGCTTGATCCTCGGTACATGAACCACAAATCCAGTCTGCAACCTTCTGTGGCCCCTCTCTGGGTGGCCCATCCCTGTGCAGTTGTATATCCAGGTTCCCCCCCACCCTCACCATACATGGATGCATACACGTGTGCACAAGTGCACTCGTGCACACATATACGAGTCTGTTAGAAACGTATATCATCAGGTCCCCATCACATCCTCCACCCCCTGCTGTCTTAACAAGCACCAGAGAGCTGACACATCCTGGCCCAGTCTTGTGCCATCCATGTGGTCTTCTGTACAACAGAAGAGGGCTGTGTATCAGTTGCTGGGGGCCTCTGCATGCTCCAGTTCTGCACAGCGGAGCCCTGACC